TCTTCTCATCGACCTGAGAACGTTTTAGTCTCTGAGATTCTTGTTCACTTTTCCTATACTGTGGATCAGCCCTTTTCAACTGATTATACTTAAAAATTTTGCTCTTCTCATCAACCTGAGAACGTTTTAGTCTCTGAGATTCTTGTTCACTTTTCCTATACTGTGGATCAGCCCTTTTCAACTGATTATACTTAAAAATTTTGTTCTTCTCATCGACCTGAGAACGTTTTAGTCTCTGAGATTCTTGTTCGCACTTCCTGAACTGTGGATCAGCCCTTTTTAACTGATTATACTTAAAAATTTTGTTCTTCTCATCGACTTGAGAACGTTTTAGTCTCCGAGATTCTTGTATGCGCTTCCTGAACTGTGGATCTGCTCTTTTCAACTGATTATACTTAAAAATTTTGTTCTTCTCATCGACTTGAGAACGTTTTAGTCTCTGAGATTCTTGTTCGCGCTTCCTGAACTGTGGATCAGACCTTTTCAACTGCTTGTGCTTTAAAATTTTGCTCTTTTCATCGACCTGAGAACGTTTTAATCTCTGAGATTGTTGTTCGTTTTTTTTGTACTGTGGATCAGATCTAAGAAGTTGCATCCTGATTTTATTTTTCTCTCTTTTCAAAATATTTCCGTCGGTGCTACTGGTTCCCATAAGTGAGGTATCCAAAAGAGTTTTACTCACTGCGTCAATTTTGCTTTGTTGTTTGTCTTCTGTCCATTTTAACTGCCTCTTCATTTCATCATGTAGTCTTTTCAAATGGGGTTTTTGCAAATTTGTTTTATCAAAAATGGATGAAATAGAATCAGAGGTAATGGTATTACCAGTGTGTTTTGTTAATGGTACCTTCTTCATTGAACCCATTTTTGAATATTGAACACTTTTTTCCAAAGGTTTTAAGGATGTTTTTAATGTTACCATATTGGGTTCATTTTTTTGAATTTCAGGAAAAACTACTGATTTTTTCTTTAAATTGTGGGGTACCGTTGAGAGCTTTGGGTTGACTGGCATGTTAGATTTTTCAGACTTATCTGATGGTGAAAAATAGTCTGAATATATTATAGACCTACTTGAATGACCAGGGGCATCAGTGGCACTCAAACTGTCAGGATAGGCTGTGTCAACTGTAGCATCTGTCTCACTTGAAGCAGCTGTATAAGCTGCATGAACAGTAACATCTGAAGCAATGGGAATCTCAGTGTGTTCAGGAAATTCAGTGTTTTCAGTAATTGCAGTATTTTCACTTTTTTCAGTGATTTCAGTAATTTCACTGTTTTTTTCAGTAATTTGTGTAATCTCAGTATTTTCAGTAATTTCACTGCTTTTCTCAGTAATTTCACAGTTTTTCACAGTAATTTCACAGTTTTTCACGGTAATTTCACAGTTTTTCACAGAGCCCACCGAGGTGGGCGTGCCTGCTAAAGCAGGCACAATAGTAGACGTGGCAGCCTCAGGCACCCTCTTTCGACTTCTCTCGATACTTTTCTTCTGATGTGCCCTTCTTTGGGCCATGCTTTGTTTTTTCAGGCGAGGCATCTAGAAATATATATATATATATATAAATATATTTATTGGCTAAAAGTTATACATATCATTCAAGATGATTGAAAGGGGCAAACTATAATAGAAACTGAGAGAGTTGTAAACCGTTTCTTTTGAGTGCAACTGCTTAAGAGGCCCTTAACAAACAACCAAGACTAACAAGTGCACCGAAAATAAAACATTATCAAACAAAAACATTATTTACTGATGTGTTGAGTCTGTAATTAAAGGTAAATGCCGATGGAGTGTGGATCCCCAGTAACACATGTAATCCACCTCTACTAGTTACTTACAAGTATAACAGAAATGAAGTTGACATGCCAATGGACATAACAAATTAATCACTTCATCAAACATAAAAGAGCCTTAAACTATCTCATTTAAATTGATGGTTAATTTGGACTACTTATCTAACCCACTAATATTTATCAGTCCCATTTATAAACAGCAGAGAAAGCAGACAGAAGAATGTATTCACATATGCCTTTTGGTGTTGTTTTACAAAATGCTAGTTAATTATAACATGGGATATTCAGGACACAGACCGTGATTACTAGATACCCCCAATAGATGTTTGGATTTTTGGAATTTGGATTTTTAATGAGAACGGTGTTTTAGATACAATGTTTTATTCCATTTTAAATGACTCAGAATAATCTAATAGTAGAGTCCTTGCAAAACATAATATTTGCTGTGCCCATCATATTAATGTCATTGCAGATTACACAACTACACTTAATAATAATAATAATAATAATAATAATAATAATAATAATAGCCCAGTTTCTACTTCCAACATCGAGCAGGTTTATATTGAGTCTGGTAGTTTTATTTGTCTTAAGATGCCAAAGCTCAGAAATGTAAATTAAGGGCATCAGGTATGCTCACAAAAAACTATTATTAAAGGTTTGTTTAGTTATTAAGGTTAAATTGAAAAAGAAAAGACTTCAGAAGAAAATAGGACTTTTGGAACGTGTTCAAACATGCTCAGACCTGCTTTAAGCTACTCTTTTTAAATATGAATTGATTTGTTATTATCAAGTTGTCAGAAAAAGCTACTGAAAAAGAAGTGCAGGGCCATTCCGTGGTATTTGGTCTGCAGACCTTAAAATTTAAAAAAGAATCCTACTTATAAAACTTATGATTTCTGAAACCAGACACCATAAGGCACCAGAATCCAAAAAAATGTTAAGTTTTGATGATTAATCATGATTTTATTGACACTTTTATCTGGAAAACTTATAAAATAGTGTTACAGAAGGATATTTTTATTTTTGATATATTTTTCATAATAGTGATCATTTTAAACAATAAAGGCTAAATACATTAAATATAACTTATTTCTTACATTTAGTCAAGTGCATTAGATTAAAAAATATTTGATTATGAAGTAATGGATTAATTAATATCAATTTGTCCTTCCATAACGATTTTGGCACCTATTTTTTAAGTTTTCTCAGTAAATACAAAAACTAAAAACTTATAACTTCATATTCTTCTCAACCATGATAGGGGCCAACAAAATACGAAAACATTTTTGCTTAGAACCATTTCAATAAGAAATTAAATCCAAATATATAAGCATTAAACATGATACCTAGCACAGTGGAAGCACATATGAGGCATTCTGATTGGACAATAACAGGTCATGTGACCAATGAGCCCTAAAACCTTATGTCTTTCAAGATAATCTTGAACTTAAAATGCACAATTATTATATATAGAAGCATTTTTAAACTGAGAAACATTTTATTTGAATGAATGATTTTGAAGTAATTATAATTTAGACAACTGATTATATTTATAATTTATACATTTGGTAAGATTTTCTCTAAAATGTCCCAATATTATTTAAAGATGATCAGAGCAGATAAGAACTTATATTATAGTCAAAAATAGTAACATGATGTTCTGGGTGACAAGTTAATTCAGCCCAACACTAATCTGGTCCCCATTTCTGTACCAAACACCTGTAAATTGCACATTTTATACAGATAAACTAATTAAGGGTCTATTATGTATTCAAAAGCAACCTTCAAATGTGAACAATCAGGCATGAGCAAAAATGGTGCAAACTTTTTTTAGCCTTTTCTCATATTTGGAGAAACCAATCAGTGGATACTGACATATTAGATTTCAGGAGAGTATAAAACAGTATTATATTAAAATAATAAAAATTGCCATAAAGGCTTGATGTTTCAAAATAATCAACCCACATATTGCCAACAATGAAGTATCTACCAATGTAAAAGTATTGCCTTGGTATGTACTTGGCTGCTAGTAGCTATCTATTTAAAGTGCACATTGCTGGTACTTAGATGATCCTGAGACTTAAATGACAAGTATCTAAAACAATACTTACATTCTATTGCCACACTAATTATCCGGATAAGGTGCAATTGACTGACTGAGTAACTGACTAACTGAGTAACTTCAACTGGGAACTGGAAGAAATAGAATATTATTTAATCTAGCACTGATGCTGTTTATATCACAAACATATTCCTTTACTTTTCATCAGCTCCACATTGTTGAGAAGAAACTATGGTTACTCAAAAAATTATATGGCATATAATAATAATAATAATAATAATAATAATAATAATAATATTTATTTACAGTCTGAAATCCATATAAAATGTTCAGTAGATTTAACAGAGGTAAAATGAACAGAATATGACCAACAGAGTCAATAATAAAAAATAGACAGTTAAGATATAAAGATATTGAAATAAATAGTGCAATGTAAATAAATATATACTGTAGGTCCCATTCAAAACAAGATGATATGCCAACTAGCAGATCCGCCAACTAAATAGGGTTGACCCCACTTTAAAAGTTATAGCGCTGAATCCATAAGGTCTCACCGCCTCCACGTGTGCCCTTAAACGGATTTAACCTCGTGTTCGGGTTTCATTATAAGGCCCCTGCAGTTGTGGCTTGTGTGTGGGCAAGAAGACCGTTAAGGAATTAATGACATGGCTTTTGAAGTGTGGTAAAACATATTTAGTGGACGGATCTGCTTGTCAGTGGTCCATCTATTATGTTGCTTCAATAAACAAACCACATATTGCCAACAATAAAGTATCTCCCTATCTAAAAGTATTGCCTTGGTATGTACTTGGCTGCTAGTAGCTATCTATTCAAAGTGCACATTGCTGGTACTTAGATGATCCTGAGACTTAAATGACAAGTATCTAAAACAATACTTACATTCTATTGCCACACTAATTATCCGGATAAGGTGCAATTGACTGACTGAGTAACTGAATAACTGAGTAACTTCAACTGGGAACTGGAAGAAATAGATTATATAAACTCAATTGACTATTATTTAATCTAGCATTGATGTTCTTTATATCACAAACATATCCCTTTACTTTTCATCAGCTCCACATTGTTGAGAAGAAACTATGGTTACTCAAAAAACATATGGCATATAATAATAATAATAATAATATTTATTTACAGTCTTAAATCCATATAAAATGTTCAGTAGATTTTACAGAGGTAAAATGTACGGAATATGATCAATAGAGTCAATAATAAAAAATAGACAGTTAAGATATAAAGATATTGAAATATATGGTGCAATGTAAATAAATATATACTGTAGGTCCCATTCAAAACAAGATGATACGCCAACTAGCAGATATGCCAACTAAATAGGGCTGACCCCACTTTAAAAGTTATAGCACTGAATCCATAAGGTCTCAACGCCTCCACATGTGCTCGTAAACGGATTTAACCTTGCGTCTGGGTTTAATTATTAGGCTCCTGCAGATGAGGTGTGTGTTGGGGCAAGAAGACCGTTAAGGAATATTAATGGCATGGCTTTTGAAGTGGGGTAAAACATATTTAGTGGACGGATCTGCTTGTCAGTGGTCCATCTATTCAGTTGCTTCTATAACCAACCCACATATTGCCTACAATTTAGTATCTGCCTAGATGCTTAAGTATTGTCTTTTCTATATACTTGAATTCTAGTAGCTATCTACGTCAAATGCATATTTCTGGTATTTTGAAGATCGTGAGACTTAAATGTTAATGATTTAAGACAAACAATACTTACATTCTATTGCCACACTAATTAATCTGCAAAGCTTCAACTGAATTGCTTCTAACATCAACTGTGAGCTGGAAGAAATATAATATTTTATAAATTCAATTGACTATTATTCAATCTAGCATTGATGCTCTTTATATCACAAATATACTCCTTCACTTTTTATCAGCCACAATGTTGAGAAGAAACTATGGTTACTACAAGTATACTAAAATATCACAAGTAATGTTAGCAATTACTAGTACTGTAACACAGGATAACCCTTGACCCCCTTTTGGAGCAAAGTACACATGCTGTTCAACACCATAAAACAAATGCATTATCCTGTGGATCAATGAAAGGCAAATTCTCTTCAATAAAGAAATGTGGCATCAATTCAGATAAACAAGACACCATTACCATTTAATGAGATTTTTCACATAGCTATTCTTAACTTTCTTTAGTCGTGAGTAGTGTTGATGCACATCTCTAAAAGTTACTGCACAGTTTCAAATACTATAGAGCTCTAGGATACAGATTTGACATGAACATCTTCAGTGTCTGATGTTATGTATGTATGATCTTTTCAACTGTCAATTAGGATTTTTTTATTTATTTTTGCTCCTTAATTGTTTCCAATAGCAGTATAAATAACTCCCCTTTAATACTCACATTAAACTTAAATTTACAACTTACCAAGCTTCTTCTGTAAACCTGTGGCCTCTTCAACAATGCCTCTGGTTGCACATTTCTAGGTCACTGCATCTCATTAGTCAAATGAACTGGGGATTGTGGGAAACCTCTTGATGAGAGCTTAGAATCTTCCTAAGGGAGTTTTGGCTTTTCTGTTAACCTCTCCACCCTTAGCAACAGTGTCTAGTTGCACATTTCTAGGTCACTGCATCTCATTAGTCAAATGAACTGGGGATAGTGGGAAACCTCTTGATGAGAGCTTAGAATCTTACTAAGAGAGTTCTGGCTTTTCTGTCAACCTCTTCACCCACAGTGTGATAAAAAGCAACAACTGCTGCACACACCACCCAAAATGCTGCTTAGTCATTTCTTGAGTGTGCCAAAGAAACTATATTTCTGTATTTCTAAGAATGTGTCAATATAACTTGAAAATGCCAATAAACGAAAAAAATCATTTTTCACAAAAAAATATAACTTCCAGAAAAATTAACTAAACAGAATGCTTTTCCAAAGGAAGCTGCACTTAAGGCCCATGTTTCTTTTCTGTAAATTTGAGAAGAGTGAGTGACATGTTTTTCCTTTAATGGGCACTATGGTGGCAGTGCCTAGAATAGAGTTTTCTTCATTTTGATGCAATATTGCATAATGCTTAACTGCATACTGACTATCAAATTTTAATGATAAAATATCATAGTATCATGAATACTCAGAAAATGTGACTAGCAAAGGTTTTCGGGACTATGAAACTTCAAAGTCACACCTTGAAATTACTGAAATGTAAACAAGACAGAACTGTACTGAAATGGGTTTATTTCCATTTTAACACTTTTTTTACATAAAACAATTAATTTACTGTACTTTTTTTAATGATCAACTAAGAAATTTGCAGAGACGTAGACAGTTCACATAGAACAATGTTAAATGTTCAATTTGCTTCATTTTGAGATTCTGAACATAGTAAATGATTAAATCTGACAAACTGCAATAATTTGCTTTTTTTCCATTTTTGAGACTTAATTACACAATAGATTAATTTTTAACACCATTTTTATGTAATCAACTAACAATATTGTAAAGATGAAAAATTTGTCAAAAGAACATTTATACGTATCTTATTAGTTCAATAATGAGACTGTAAATATGCCTAAGAATTGAATCTGAGGTAAAAACACTTATAAACAAAACAAGGCATAACTGCATCAAAGCAGAACCAATCAAGCTTACTTTCGAACTCAACCTGTACTTTAGTAAGATTAAGCTCTCCTGTCAGTTTCATGTCAATAAGCCTACTAGTTTTCCTTTAAATATGTTTACAGTGTTCCATATATGTTGAAAAGTGAGAAAACAGGATAACTTCTACAATTATGGCCCGATCATGCTGATTTTTAAACTTGACCTGCGTTTTAGTAAGATTGATAGCTCCTGTGAGTTTCATGACAACAGACCTATCGGTTTTCCTTAAAATGTGTTTACAGGGTTGCATATATGCTGAAAAGTGAAAAAACCGCATAACTTCTACTATAATGGCCCGATCATGCTGATTTTCGAACTTGACCTGCGTTTTATGAATATTCATCAGCTCAGTAAATATAAAATCAAAAAATAAAACTGTGTTCCAATTATCGTGTTTACAGTGAAAGTGCACGGCGACGGCATTGCCATCGGCATCGGCATCGGCATCGGCATCGGCATCGGCGACGACGGCGACGACAGACGCAGGTGATGGCAATATGTACAGACACATCTGTGTCTGTACATAAAAACTCTATTGTCTTTTATCAATAATCCTCATGCCCTACATCATAATTTTTTAACATATTTTTTTTTACCAACATAATAATAATTTATCAAGGGAGCCACTTAGCCAACACACTTACCTGTCTTGGCTTCCCCAGCCCTTTTGCAGCTGTGCAGGGTCTGTTCATAGTCTTGCCAAGGTTGCAGAAGATGACTGTGGTCCCCTTGATAGGTTGGACATTGTAAGTTGTAGCTATCTTGATAGCAGTGTCCAGGGCTTTACGGTATCTATTCAGAAGCGGTGGATCAAATGGAACCTCTCTATGGAAAGATATTTCAAAAGAAAAGATATTTTCAAGTTCAATGAAGCGTTACTATGCTGTCTTTACCATTCAATCATTCGCATGTTTGGGACAAAAAAGCATGTCATAAAAGCATGATAAAAAGTTTTTTAATTCCTTGCAGTACTGCAAACCATAGGCAATGATCCAAATAACAAAAGTAAATTACACAAACACACCAAATAAAAAACAAACAAACAAACAAATGCTCACTTTGTTTTTGCATTCTTTTTCTTGTCCCATCTTCCACCTCTGCCCCCACCTCTNTTAACACTTTTTTTACATAAAACAATTAATTTACTGTACTTTTTTTAATGATCAACTAAGAAATTTGCAGAGACGTAGACAGTTCACATAGAACAATGTTAAATGTTCAATTTGCTTCATTTTGAGATTCTGAACATAGTAAATGATTAAATCTGACAAACTGCAATAATTTGCTTTTTTTCCATTTTTGAGACTTAATTACACAATAGATTAATTTTTAACACCATTTTTATGTAATCAACTAACAATATTGTAAAGATGAAAAATTTGTCAAAAGAACATTTATACGTATCTTATTAGTTCAATAATGAGACTGTAAATATGCCTAAGAATTGAATCTGAGGTAAAAACACTTATAAACAAAACAAGGCATAACTGCATCAAAGCAGAACCAATCAAGCTTACTTTCGAACTCAACCTGTACTTTAGTAAGATTAAGCTCTCCTGTCAGTTTCATGTCAATAAGCCTACTAGTTTTCCTTTAAATATGTTTACAGTGTTCCATATATGTTGAAAAGTGAGAAAACAGGATAACTTCTACAATTATGGCCCGATCATGCTGATTTTTAAACTTGACCTGCGTTTTAGTAAGATTGATAGCTCCTGTGAGTTTCATGACAACAGACCTATCGGTTTTCCTTAAAATGTGTTTACAGGGTTGCATATATGCTGAAAAGTGAAAAAACCGCATAACTTCTACTATAATGGCCCGATCATGCTGATTTTCGAACTTGACCTGCGTTTTATGAATATTCATCAGCTCAGTAAATATAAAATCAAAAAATAAAACTGTGTTCCAATTATCGTGTTTACAGTGAAAGTGCACGGCGACGGCATTGCCATCGGCATCGGCATCGGCATCGGCATCGGCATCGGCGACGACGGCGACGACAGACGCAGGTGATGGCAATATGTACAGACACATCTGTGTCTGTACATAAAAATGTTTTATTTCCTTACTCTAACTAAGACATAACTGTTTAGAAGAATGATGTTTTTTTCTGCTGAGCTATGCTCCATTCACCAACCTTGGTGATAGTTTTTTCTGTCATGGATCTTGGCTGCTTGTGATTAGCAAGTGTAGTGAATTTCAGAGTTTGACATGGAAAAATTGAGCCTGCTGCTGTCCAATCCCCAGTCTCTACCTCAGCATTTAACAAATGACTTGTAAAATAGATAATTTGTCGGTGCTCAAGACTATGATTTTCCTTTTTTACTATACACACATACCTGAGCTTTGTAATTCACTTTTGTTGTGTCAGGAGGTAGGTTTAATGGCTGAAAAGAAAATGGGCACAGAACATGTTTAAATTGAAAAGGGAAAGAAATGTTTTTTTATGCTGAAAAGTGAATAGTATCAAACTGTCTTTTACTCATTGACTAATTCTGTTTTAGATAGCATGGGCCTACAATGAATGACAGTCTGTCCAAACTGGGCATTTTCTATGAAAAGAATGCTGTATTATGCATATTAAGTTAATGATTTTGATAAGACTTGAAAATGAACATGTATTAAAAACTTATCTGTCTCCAACATGAACAATGTGCACAATATTATGTGTACCTTTAGGGGTTCTGTCCTGTTGCACAAGAGAGCTGTCAGTCTTTGAGGAGCTACACTGAAAGAACCAAAATTCAACGTGGATATTCTAACCAAAATTAGAAATATATTTATGATTACCATGTAGTATTAGCTGTACTGCTCAAAACTTCAATCTTATACAAAAAGATATGATGCTGTGTAATATGCTAACTTCCAATTGATGTAATAAAAATATAAATTAAATGAATACGTCTTACCTTTCCGTTGAATATGTTAGTGCTATCAATGTATTTTTCAGAATTGTGACAAAAAGTGAGATGTAGTTTTGGCAAAAGTTGGTGTTTTCTAGTTGGCTCATCTGGTAGAAGTGTTCTAGCTTTCTCAGTAGAATTCCCTACAGGAAAAAGAACAACAGCATTTATTGTTAACAACAGAAAATCAACTTCAAGTTTGCATTTGAATTATATATATATTACATGAAAAAATAAAAAACGGGGGTTTGCAGACAGACCAAGAGGCGTACGAACAATACTTTCAATCATTGACCATTATTTCCAATCATCATACAAACATTAATGTATTATACAGTGTAACTGTGTGTGGCTTACTGGATACATGACTTCCACCTCCTGCAGACATTGACATGCTGTTCCTCTCAGTAACCTGTTGTCCCCAACATTAACTTTTGATACGACATCCAGCAGCAAGTCTATGAAGTTCTTGAAGAGTTGAGGCTGCTCATTCTGAAACCGTATGTAAAGAATGAATAAGTTTGGTACTGGTTACTGATATTTTACATCAACTTCATTTGAGGCAGTTCTTTGGACTGATTTATATCACCAGCAGATTTAACAATAACATCACCAAGAAGGATAACTATATGTAGACAGCACACAGCTTTGTTGAAAAATTTGCTAATATGTGAATTAAACACTATATTAATACTCCCACATGATATTAAACACTCTTTGTAGCAAATCTATATTTTATACATGTGTCACTTACCAGTTGGTCAAAGCTGACCAGTACCGTTGTGATGGTTGTAAGAATATGCCCCCTGTAGAATGGTGTTGAACTGGCTGTAGACTGTGAGAACATGTCTTGTAGTGATGCAACTGTCTGCTCAATACTAAAATATAATATTAAACCCATGTGCACTGACATTAACTCAACTGAATACTATTATTTCATTTTATGTTTAACTGATTAAGAGAATGAAACTTAATATATAATAGTAAACACCATTTTTTGTAATTTTTTTTAATAAGACAATCAAACAATTTTGTAAGTCTATTCATTGAATGCTAGATTTGTAAAAGATAAATACTAGTACTGTTTTACATTTCTAATTATCACACTATCAAATTTTAAAAAAATCTTAATTGTTGTTTCTACTGGTTACCTGCTGGCAGTTTGGAAAAGATATGACCCATATTCTTGTAAAAGACCAAGCAAATGTATTTTGGCTGCATCTTGAATTGTGTCTGTACATAAAGCCTGAAATATTTTACAAGTACTAGTACAGTACATAACTGTACAACTACATGTGAACGTGTAGCATCATGCATTTCTATTTTGCAACGGTGCTTGCATGATTCTGTGCTTAATTTAGTCTTGTTTCGCAAAGTAAGGTCTTTCAGAGTTGAGAAAAGGCATAAATATTTTTATTTAGTGGACCAGTGAAGCCTTTAGACACTGTATAGATTAACCCAGACCCAAGGCTTCGCTGAAATACGAAAAGCTTTTAAGTTTCTAAAACGAGCCCCATTAAAACCCACACAGTAAAAATTTGTGCGCATTAACCTGCAATACGTCGTGTAAAAAAGACTCATCTACAAGCTTTCTATTGCTAAAGTATGCTGCAGGATTGCTTCGAAAATTCACTATCTCCCGAAACCAGTTTTCACTCTGCAGCAAAGCAAAATCCATCGTCCGCCTCTCGTAACTTCCTGTATCATGTAAGTAGGTACTTGGGCACATTTTACGACAAGCATCTTATTATAAAATTTACAGTAATAAACTGACAAACATGAATCTATGATTAATCTAAGTATAAGATGTGTCTTCAAGTTAATCTTACTTTTTGACATTTCATTAACAAAATATTGAGTTTGCCTATTTGTGAATAACTTCAACAACGAATGGGTACTTCATCAAACGTGAGCAGAAGAGAGAGAGCAGTCTGCTAAACTATTCGTGTTTATTTTATTTGCATTCGACTGGACCTGTCTTTTCTTTGTTTGGTAGAAATCATCTAACCTTCTTCCAAAGAAAAAATGTCTCGAGGAAAGTTTGGGGTAGATGTTGTTCTGTTCGACAGGAAAAAAGCAGCGCCGCATTGCCCTCACGGTGAGTGCACCCGCACACATGGTTGACTGTGTAGCATTACATCTGCAAGTATCTGAAATTTTCTGATTGAAAAGCTTAAGGATTTGTTTGCATTTAACATTTTTAAGTTGACACTCCTCATTTTGACATATTTTCTACATTTTATGACAAAATCAAAAAGGCTGACATGCGCACATGGTTGAATGTTATATTGCATTTTTTCTGTTAATGTCTGTAAATGTCTATACTTTTATGAATGAACCACGTTGAAATCCGAACAATTTCTTTGCAGTTAAACTTACTAAGTTGAAATTTCACGTGATTTGAATTATTTTTTACATTTTTATTGGTGCTCCTCTTTTGCACCACTAGTAAAAATGGGATAAAGCAGTTTTTGGTTATTATATAACTTTATTGCATTCAAAAACTGATGAAGAGGTGTGTGTGTGTGTGGGGGGGGAGGAATGAGTAACAGTGGGAGGAAATCAAGATCCACCAAATATTTGGGTCTTCATTGAAATTTTTTTGCTTGTTTTCCATTAAAATTAAACCATCTTAATTAACTTCTTAAGAAATCTGAATGGGTTTATACCTAGTGAACTGATTAAAAAAATAATAACAAGATATTTGTTCCAGGCCCAACATTGTTATTTGAAAAATACGACAAAGAAGGAAAGTACGGCAAACAGTTCTATGCATGTTCTGCATGTAGAGACAGAAAAGACTGCAACTTCTTCCAATGGGCAGATGAGAAGATAACACCAGCCAGGCAAAATGCCAGGGTTAAGTACAACACCAGCCAGCAGCCCCAGTCCTCACATAAACTGCTATACCACAGGTAAAGGTCTTCTAGTCTAGGACCTACTTCTGTTCTTGACATTGACTTTGTTTTGCATGGTGGTCATTTTCCAAGACTTGACTATAACATTTGATTTCCTCACTTGATACTGCAAATATTAAAATGAATGACACGTGTTCATGTCATTGCACACTTTTACAAAACCTGAATGGAGTTAAAACAACCAACATATTGCTGAAATTTGTTTGAGCACTGAAGCATCTATTGGAGAATGATCTGTTAAATCATTTCCCTTGGAGTAAATAAAAAGGAGAAAAGCATGGTTCTTATTACCATCATGCTATGCTTCATCTTCCCTTCTCTAGGTGTAAATTAAACTTGTTTATGTAAAAGTTAATAACTTCTGAATCACCTAGGTCAGCATATTGGGGGTATCAAACCAATATTTCTCTGCATTTTATCCTGCAGTAATTCTGATAACAAAGAAGAGAAAATATGGAGATATGTGATTTCTTAGTGTATTCCTGAAGCCAACTTGAGATGAAAGGTAAACTTGACCTCTGCATGGATGATTGGGTTAATTATTTGATACATGGTATAGTGCATTTTTGATTTTTGGTAATTATGTTTTACTCTATTTCTTATTAGGTTGAAAAAGTTCAGAAAATTGAAAGAGGTTGAAAGAAAGTTTTGCAACATTTGTAACCAGTTGCTGCTACCTGATGATCTTTCTCAACATCAGGGCCATGAGCTGATCTTCCCTGTAACCAATAGCATGTTGATCAAGCCTTGTAGTCTACTGCAACCGCTGGAAAACAAAAAGACAAATGCTGTGAGTTATTTTGTGATTGCTCTTGTGATTACTAATACAAAAATACATATGTTGTGCTCTGTATTGAAGCCTTGAGAAATGTTTGACTTGGTCACTTTGGTTAAAAATTGCTTCAGCATTGAGTTGATTTTTTTTTCTGCATAATATTGAGACGTAAATTCAATATGAAAAAAATAATGTCCATTATGTAGTTGATAGTGAGTAACTTAGATTTGTTGTCTTTCTCCCTATATCTTATTATATCCTTTCATTTCAGCAATATTTTTTCTCAGAAAAAACTGTACAGTTTACAGTGAATTGTTTAATGAAGCTTGGCTTTGAAAAGGTTTTGTGCATAGGGGCGCCAAGGTAAGTTGCTTAAAGCAAGAAAGCAATTTTAGTTATGTAGTTATTTTCTGATCAGATGCCAAAATTTGTATTTACTTTATGATTTTTTTTTTTTTTTTTTTTTGTAAAAAAAATTTTANTTTTTTTTTTTTTTTTTTTTTTTTTAATTTTATCACAATACAAAATAAAAATGTAATTTTTGCTGCCAGATTTATCAAAAATTATTATTAAGTTCTCTTCTTTCCTGCTCCAGAATCCATGAAGCCATCCAGAGCAGCTCAAGAAGTCAGAAAATGGAAACCTTACTACTTGACATGGACCACAGATATGTAAGTGGCACTTTGTTTATTTCTGGCAACTTTGAGCATTATTAGTATTATTATCAGTTTTAGAGATATTTTAAATGTCGTTCTCTCACCATGAAAGCATATGTCATAAGTGTCTGTATATTTCCAGGAGCAGTTTTATCAGCTAGACCAGTTTTGCAGATACAACATGTTTAATCACCACTTCTTCAGGGGTGATAAAAGTAGAGAGGTTTATACCCAGTTCATTGGTTTACCTGGAAAGGTAAGTTATTCTGCCATCATGTGGTGGGGCCATAAGTTTCACAACGAGCATAAATATTGTAATCGAGAAAGTGAGTCTGTTATTGCTGGTGGATCCAGGAATATGCTAAGAGTGGGGGAGGGGGATGGGTGGGTAAAACAATAAACTTTTTTGTTGGATGAATACACTAATATACACAACAACATCACTACAATATGTATGGTACAAGGATTGGAAATTTACTGGAGTTTTTGTCTCTTTTTGTTATTCATTTTTTTTATTTTGATGGAGACAGGTGTACCTATGAAACTGTGCTTCCTTGAACTGTTAGTTAAAGCATTACAGTGACCAGAACTATAATGCATGAGTGAAATTCATTTATTTTCAGTTAGTCGTTGTATCTGATCCCCCATTTGGTGGCCGAGTTGAAGTTCTGGCACATACTTTAGGTTTGATTACCAAGGAGTGGCAGGAAGTAACTGGAGGTCAGCACCATTTTGTCATTTTTATATTAATTGATTTCTTTAGTGATAAAAAACATTTTTGTAATGTAAAAATTTTATGAGTTGTTAATCTGTTTTGCTGGTTGTATTGCATGTTTATTATCTTATAATTTGATTTTAGCCAAGAAAGAGCTTCCTGTGTTGTTGTTTTTTCCATACTTCCTAGAGCCCAGGATATTGGAATCGCTGCCATCTTTCACAATGCTGGACTACAAGGTATGCACAGTATATTCAACTTTACCAAGTACTGATTAATGCAAAGATCAAAATTTCCAATATAATTTTTTTCTGCAAGTTCCACTGTATTTTTGGACTAATTAATGCAAAGATTAATTTTTGCAATATAACTTTTTTCTACAAGTTCCACTGTATTTTTCTCACCTTTAGTTTTCCATTGGTTTGTATTTTCATGGAAGTTTAATGTTTTCATGCAGTGTTTTCAAACAGAAACTTATTATGTCTTAAGTATTTGTATTTAAAATCTAATTTTATTTTGTGTTAAATACTGGAAATTGCTCAGTATTAAAGATACACATACAAATTTTTATTATTATTTTCTACTGAAGGTTGACTATGAAAATCATGATAAATTCCACGAAGGACCAACAGGTAGGAAACATGGTTCGCCAGTTCGGATTTTCACCAACATTAACCCTTCAAGAATACAGTTGCCAAAAGATGAAGGTTACAGGTATGTCATGTCAACCCTAATGTGAGCAATATTCAACTCAGGGGTCAGTATTTTCAGATGTCTTTTACACAGTTAACCAAGTTGAATATTGTACACTTTTGCTAATAGTGATTGTTGAATTAAGTTTACAAATGCAGTTTGAGCACAAACTTTTCAAAAACACAAAAGTGTTTATTTATATTGATGATTGATTGTGAAAATTTCCAGTATTGCAGATTTGTCAGAAGCATACTGCTGTCATCTCCTCATTAGAGAGGTATTAATACCAAATTGTTTACTCTTCTAGTTTCTGCAAATTGTGCCAAAGGTATGTAGGTGAAGAAAATAAGCACTGTACCATATGTAATAGCTGTACATCAAAGGTAAGCAAGAATATGACTTTGTTTAGCAGTTATTTATAGTATCGTTTAACATTTGACTACTTGGTGTTTTAAGTTTTTTACCAATCATTATATTTAACATTGAATATTCTTTTTTTATGGACATGCATGTGAATTGTTTATAGGCATGTTTTTAAACAAATTTTAACATTTAAAGTTATAAGGTTCAGTAACACCAAAACTGATAATAAAAATAATAATAATAATAACAATAATAAGCACAGAAATGTTTTTAGATTTAAAGACTGTAAGTACTATGTATTATACATACAGAATAATAGTAATGATAGTGAATAAGGGAGAAAATAAATATAGTGTTATGCAATGTACATTATAAAGAGATACAAGTAAAATGGATGAAATCCTTTATGTATTTGTTACTAATTATTTGCATTTTACTAATTGAAATGTTTTTTAATTTTTTTTTATTTTGCAACCTGTGTGATATATTTCTTCTATTTTCATTGAGAAAAAAAAGATGTTCATGAATCATTTATTTAATAACAAACCATTTTTTGTCCTACATAGGATGGTAGAACATACATTCACTGTGATATTTGCATGCGCTGCGTCAAGCCCTCCTACAGTCACTGCAGTTCCTGTGATAGGTGCCATCTTCCTGAACACCAGTGTTCACTGTCTTCTAAAGGTATTCTAAAGGTTTTTGAATGGAAATAAATGTCAGAAACAACTTTTATTCTATATGATAGACAGTGTACAGCCTGCAATATTCACCTTGCTAAGTGCAAGTTGAATTGAAGGCAGCAAAGTAAAATACAGTAGATTTAAGCTGCTGTCCATTGTTTTTTTCTTAATGTAAGAGCGCATTCTCAACGAATTAAGCCAGGCTTTACAAAGCCGGTGACCTAAAAATGGCAGACGTACATGAAAGAAAAACCGCCTAATCTTTTAATAGTCTCTCCGCCTCCCCACACGTCATCCCTGCGGGGTACAGTAATTAAATCGCGTCTCCGTTCGCCATGCGGAAGCTACCTGAGAAATATTAAGTGCGCATGCTCATCAGTTAAACTCATGGTGAAGAAAGCATGGCAGCTGAAGGCGATCGAAGGAAAAAAGCTCTTCTGTTCTATTATCTTTGAAAACAGAGACGAAAAAGGAATAATTTGGCCCGTAGAGCAGCAATGAATCGACTATCTACGGAGATAATATCACCAGAGATATTCACGGAAATATTAATGTTCGGAGCCGAGATTTAATTACTGTACCCCGCAGGGACAACGTATGGGGAGGCGTGTGAGAGGCGGAGAGACTATTAAAAGATTAGGCGGTTTTTCTTTCATGTACGTCCGCCATTTTTAGGTCACCGGCTTTGTAAAGCCTGGCTTAATTCGTTGAGAATGCGCTCTAATATATTCCTAGGCTTGACCTGGTAGCCCAAGGGCTTCTGGGTATATACACTATCCTAATACTGGATATTTTTTATTTTGAATGCCTTGCACTTGTTTTAAGAATTTGAATATCTAAGAAAAACATATAAGAACTAAATATGATGATTGAGTTCTCATTACCAAGGGAATTGATTTTTTAAATTCTCTTATATGCTGTTCTTTTAAGGCTGCCATTTATGTGGAGACACTGGTCACAAGAGGAAGGATTGTCCCAAAAGATACCAAATGAAAAAAAGAAAATTACCAGAGTGTCAAGAACAGGAAGAGACAAAAAAGAAAATAAAGCTGAAACACACTTCAAAGAAGGTTTCCATGTGAAATTATGTGTCTGTCTGATAAGAAAAAAAATGCTGTTTATTCTGCTGATTATATATTTTATTATCCATAATAAATGTGCGATGAGTGTTTCGAGTCAAGGCAATAATATTTCAGTACACTGATTGGCATTTCAAAGTTCTCTGGCAATTTCATCTTGCGTTATATCAGTGAACAAAGATATACATCCTTCTATACTGCTCCCTTTTTACAATTTCGACAATGTGTGCCACCACAGGGTTTTTTTAAACTCCCACTTTCACACTTACGTTCTCTTTCATAACTAACATCCTTATCCATTATCTCGAATTTTGAGATGTCATCAAGTAGGCAGAGGCTGTCAAAAAGTCGATTGTATTTCCTATGTAGCTAATTTGTCTTATGCTGGTGCTTGTAGGTAGCATAGACCTATCAATGTGAATAAGGTATTCACAGTAGTGATCTACAGATGCAGTCCATACTACTGTATTGAGAGAGAAATAAATATCATTAAATGACAATAGAGAAATTAAATAAAAAATAGTTAAAAAGAATACTTTATTACGTTTATTATATATATATATTTTTTTTTAAATATTTATTTTATTTATTTAATATTTGTAAAGCTTTTTGTTAAAAAAAGGCATGTGCAGTATATATATATCTTAAGACTCAAAGGAAGTCGTGAGGATTCCAAGATCTCAAATCATAAAACAAGTTATATAGTAGATTTGTGGATGTTGCTGTCAAAAACTGGAAAACTTTCTTGGAGTGGATATCTTGTATTTCGCCGCAGAAAAAAACTTGAAAACTGATAGAAACTGACACTGATGTAAACTAAAGCTGAATTAGCCTGATTTAAACATAAAACAATAGGCTCCAGGGAGACCCGTGTCGCTGAACTGAAAATGTGAGGACAGGAGTTGAACTTGATACCTGTGTGTCATGTGACACAATGAACACATCTCAGAGTCATCTCACTATGATTTACTCTAACCTGTAATTACTGCACGTGTTGCAGTTACAGTGGTCTTTATAAATTTGAAAAGTTTTTACAGAATTATATTTTTGACTGCTTCATTGTTGTCTTAGCATTTCATTATTTTCATCATTAGTATTATTTTATGCATATGTTCTCTGTAAATGCACATGTTGACAGTTTAGCATTTTCATCATTGTTATTGTATAGCTAGTTCATCTGTTATGGCATATATCACTGACTTCTATATATTAGTAATTGTTCATGGTCATATTACAATTATATGCCCCATTTCCATTTCAGATGAAGTGGATTGATATTACAACTGATAAGTACTTACATGTGAATAAAATGATCTGAAGTAATATTATGTTATTGTCAGTAAATTTGTTTTAAAAATTCCTATTTTTATGTACAGACACAGATGTGTCTGTACATATTGCCATCACCTGCGTCTGTCGTCGCNAGCAATAATTGCAGTTGCATTATGGGTATACATTGAGCATTGTGAACCGCTGCTGCATTTTGGTAAGAGATTGAACATTGTGACATCAGCAAGTGGTGTTATAATGATATTATTGGGAATACATTGCTTTTTTCACTTGTTTATTATATTATTCAATCAGATGATTTATTTGAATTTATTATTTTCTCTGTTTTATGTACAGACACATTGTGCCTGTATATGTAGCCATTACCTGCATCTGTTGTAGTTGTCCCCAACATTTTTGTTGTCCCTGTGCACTTTCAGTGTCAACATTCGTGATATACAGGCAGAATTCGAAAACCGGCATAATCCCACCATTTTTTTCAAAAATTAACCTGTGTTTTTTCCTCCACTTTTTTTCAGCATGTATGCAATACAGGCAAGGAAAACTGATAGGCCTTTTGTTTTCAAACTTATAGGAGTGACCAATGTTACCAGAGTACAGGTTGAATCTGAAAATCCAGTTATTCAAACTATTCTTCTGGAAGTTATGCTGACATATTTTTTTCAGTATTTTTTATGCTGTATGCAACACTGACAGCACATTTCAAGGAAAACCAATAATATTGTCTTCAAACCTTCAGGAGTGATCAATATTATTTTTATGCTTTTTTTTTTTTTTTTGTATGTATTATAATATATGCTGTACAGATAACACATTTCAAACTTACAGGACTGATCAATAGTGTTAATATACAGGCAAAGTCTAAAAATCAGCTTGATGGGACCATTTTTCTTGAATTTATGTCTTTTTGTTTTATTTCTCAGCATATACTCTAATTCTGGAACCGTAAATGCTAGAGACATCTTGTTTGCATTTTATAGAGCTTGTCAAGCGCAACACTGGAAGTGGTGTCATTTTTTTTTGTTTTTTTATATGGTATACGAGTTGTGCTGTATCAAAATGTACAATGTGGTGGTGAATATAAGATGTGAAATACGGTAATATGCCATAAATTTTGAATGTCGGGAAAAGATAACATAAGGCTTAGTAAAGGACAGACAACTTTCGGTCAAAACTGACAGAATTTCATGAAATTCGATTGTCTGGAATTTCTGAGCCTCTCCCATTGCATGAATTATGAGCAAAACGATCTTTTCATTATTTTAATTAATTTCTTCTTTACAAAATTCACAGCACATAACTGTAACTCCAAAATTAGCAAAGATACACCATTTTACTCCTTTGTATCTCCAAAACTGCCAGAGATAGGCTCAAAGTTACTATGATCATTATGCTTTTAAGCTTTATGTAATATTGCATCAAAATTGAAGAAAACTCTATTTTGGGCACTGCCTCAATAGTGACCATCAAAAGAAAACCATGTCACTAACCCTTCTCAATCTTACAGGAAAGAAACACAAGACTTAAATACAGCTTTGGAAAACAAGTCCGATTGGTTGATTTTTCTGGAAGTACTACAGGTTTTTGTTTTCACATATTGATATTTTCAAGGTGTGACTTTGAACCTCCATGGGCTTGAAGACCTTTGCTAGTCACATTTTCTGAATATCCATGATACTTTTATTTTATCATTAAAATTGCTGGTCATTATGCTGTTAAGCATTATTTAATATTGCATAAAAGTTAATTATTGAAAAATATTTAATTTGGACACTGCTGCCTGGATGACCTTTAAGAGAAAACCATGTTACTTATTACCCTCTACCAAGGCCACAGATTGATTTTTCACTAGATATGAAGAGATGTGTCTCTAATTAAATAGATAGCTGATCTCTGTACTGTGACCCTGTGCTGAAATCTCAAGGATGATTACATGGCTGGTAATTGTTTGCATAACTACTCAGGCACTGGCACTTAGCAAGTGCCTGCCAAGTCCCCTTGACAGTAATCAAGACAGTTAATTGCTCATCTGTAACAATAAAAACAGCCCCTTACCAGACAGACAACACAAGGCAGGTTGCGTAACAAGCGGTAATCACATCGATGTGAAGCCCAGCTGTCACTGAGCTCCTGCAGAGCAGGTACAATGCTATCTGCGTGCGTGCAGATTTGATTGCTCCCATCTGGCCAAATGTTACAGGGTCACCTCAGCAAAAATGTCCACAGAATAATAACTGTGGCCCTGGTAGAGGGTAGTTACTTATGATTCTCAAACTGTCTGAAAAGATTCATTGGACTGAAGCACGGCTTGTGTTGGAAAATCAGTGTGATTGTTTTGTTTTGGAAGCAATGTAGTTCTTTATGAAATTTTTATTTCTTACATAGTCCTTGGTGTTATATGGATACAATGGATGGTCAGTCTGTAATTGTCCCTTGGGTAATCACTAGCTTTTAGAACTATTAGATCACTTGCCAAATTAAGTTTCAAGATGCCATTAAATGAGATTACATAAAACACACATGTTGAGATTTCCATAGGTTTAGCTCTCTGCCAGATACAGTTACTGTTTGTAAAAGCCTAAATTAACAGTGTCACATAATTAGGAATCAGTGATAATTATGCAGGTAAATGTAGTTTAATATTGCAAATAAGTTACAAAAGAAAAAAATATTTCGTGTAATGCCAACATAAATGCTATAGATGAAAAACACTGAATTATTATCTTCAAACTCAATGGGGTCATTTATATCATATTAATACAGCTAGATTAAAAGTTTGAATAGCAGCTTTATTGGAATATTTTTTGTTATGATTTCTTTTTTAATTTTTTTCAAACACTGGCATTTCAAGGTGTGACTTCTTACTCCCATCCACCTGAAGCTCTGTACATTTTCTGTATTTCCACACAAGCATTTGTATTGGTATTTATGTCTTTAAACATTATGTAATATTATTTTATGTACTGTCATCATTTTTCACATATTGGGATTTTCATTATGTGAATTTGAACTCTCATGGTCCTGACACTGTAATTTTATTGACCTAATTACCTTTTATGCATGATTAAAATTCATTGTTGATTGACTGTTCTGTTATTCCATAATTATTTATTATTGCATTAAAATTGACAAAATGACCTATTTTCTGCATTTTTATTTTCTGCTTTTTGTCTGTACATTTGACAGCTTTGCTGCCTTGTTTTTGTCTTGCTTTTCATACGAATGCACTTACTCCAGCTGGCGGTACAATACCCGGAGGCAGTATCACCTCTCTGATCCTCTAGTAGGGTACTTGACTTATGCCTAAAATGCTTTGCCCTTTTGTATGTACTGTATTTGGTGGAAATAATTTATTACATAAGGCTGGGAAATATACTAGCATGGTCTCAGTTAGAAGTTGACTTATTAGAATATATTAGAGAAAAATGAAAGCTCATTGATATATTCTGATCAAGTAAAACGTTTTTTTTTTTTTTTTTAGAATTTTGTACAATGTACTCTGGATTGGAGGATGTATACCTTTTATGTACAGACACAGATGTGTCTGTACATATTGCCATCACCTGTGTCTGTTGTCACCATCGTCGCCATCCATGTCGCCGTCGCTGTCACCGTCACCGTGCACTTTCAGTGTTAACACTCTAAATGGAAGACAGTTTTACTTTTTGGCTCTATATTTACAGAGCCGATGAATATTCATAAAACTCAGTTCAAGTTCGAAAATCAGCATGATCGGACCATTATTGTAGAATTTATGCTGTTTTTTCACTTTTCAGCATATATGCAACACTGTTAACACATTTCAAGGAAAACCGATAGGCCTATTGTCATGAAACTCACAGGAGTAATCAATCTTACTAAAACGCAGATCAAGTTCGAAAATCAGCATTATCGGGCCACTATTTTAGTAGTTATGCTTTTTTTTTCACTTTTCAGCATATATGCAACACTGTTAACACATTTCAAGGAAAACCGATAGGCCTGTTGTCATGAAACTCACAGGAGTAATCAATCTTACTAAAACGCAGGTCAAGTTCGAAAATCAGCATAATCAGGCCATTATTTTATAAGTTATGCTGTTTTTTCACATTTTCTCAGATTCAATTCTTAGACATGTTAACAGTCTCATTATTTAACTAATAAGATAGGTAAAAGTGTTTGTTTGACATTTCCTGCATCTTTACAACATTGTTAGTTGATTATGTAGAAATGATGGTAAACTTGTTATCATGTATTGTATAATAGAGTTTCAAAAATGGAAATAAACTCATATCATTGCAGCTTGTCAGATTCATTCATTCACTATGTTCAGAAACTCAGAATGGAGGAAATTGGACATTTAACACTGTTCTATTGATATTTTTCTCATCTCATCAATTTTCTTAGTTGATCATATAAAAATGGCAGTAAACTCTTAATTTTGTTACATGTTAAAAAATTGTTAAAAATGGAGAAAAACACATTTCAGGACAGTGCGGTCTTGTTTACATTTTGGCATTTTCAAGGTGTGACTTTGAAGTTCCATGGGCCTGAAGACCTTTGCTAGTCACATTTTCTGAATTTCCATGATACTAATATTTTATTATTAAAAATTGATGGTTATTATCCTGTTAAACATTATGTAATATTGCATCAAAATTTGAAGAAACCTCTATTTTGGGCACTGCTCCCATGATGACCATTTAAGGAAAACCATGTCACTTACTGTTCTCAAACTTAAAGAAAAAAAACATGGGACTTAAATAAAGCTTCAGTGGGCAATGCAGTCTATTTGGTGAATTTTTCTGGCAGTTAAACAGTTTTTTGTGAAAATTTGATTTTTCACATATTGGCATTTTCAAGGTGTGACTTAGAACCTCCACGGGCTTGAAGACCCATGCTAGTCACATTTTCTGAAAATCCATGATACGTATATTTTATTATTAAAAACTGATGGTAATTATGCTGTTAAGCTTTACGTAATATTGCATCAAAATAGAAGAAAACACAATTTTGGGTGCTGCTGCCATGATGACCATCATGGGAAAACCATGCTACTTATGATTGTCAAACTTTCAAAAAAGAAACACAGGACTAAAATGCAGCTCGAGTTGGAAAAGCAGTCTAATTGGCTTCTCTTTCTGGAAGTTATACATTTTAGTGAAATATTCATTTTTATCATGTTGGCATATTCATTGTGGGACTCTAAGCTCCCATGGACATGAAGCCAAATGGTAATCAAATTTTCTACTTGTCCATGCTATTTATAGTCAATATTCAAAAATTGGTGATAATTATTCTGTAATTTATTATGTAATGTTACATCAAAATTGACAAAAATCTTTTTGCACTGCTACTTCAAACATTATGAAAAGAAAACTGTGTTACTTATTAGTATTTTCAACTTACAAGTATGATTGGTAGGATTGGCATGCAGTTCAAATAAGAAAGCCAGCTCAAATGGGTTATCATTTATTATTGAATTTAAGCAGTTTTATGTGAAATTTTCATTTTTCTCATTCTGGCATATTCAAAGTGTGAACTTAAACTCCCATGGGCTCGAAGCCTTACGCTTGTTTCACATTTCACTTACATTGGTATTACCTGTTGAGCATAATTAAAATTTGATGTTGAATTTGCAGTTAAGCATAATGTACTTTTGCATCAGAATTGACAGTAGCCTGTTTTGTGCATTGTTATTGTCTGCTTTTTGTCTGTACATTTGACAGCTTTGCTGCCTTGTTTAATAAACTCAAATTACAAAGATAGGTACAACTTTCCTGAACTAGACGTTGTTTGTCAAGTGATGTTTGCTATGGATAAACTTCCTAAAACTATACAGCACAAAGGCAAATTAAAATGTTTGCTACAAAATATATTTTATTGTGAACAGTGATTTTGTCACTACAGTGTCACGTATCCCAAACGTTTCTGTCGTAATAATTCAAAATCTGTGAAATACTGTGATTTGTTTATAATCAAAACAGAAACAACTCCATTACATAATTTAGTGAATTAAAGAAAAGAAAAAAAAAATAGAAAAAAGTTTGATTGAAAAGGTGGTCTAGAATTTGCACACATTCTCTTGGCAAGGTGGCATTCTAAATAATATATAACCAAAGTTTGCCTTAATACCTCTGGGGACAACCAGCACAAACATTGCGACTTAAACAAAACAGCACCTACAAAAATATTTTACAAACAAAAGTAATCCATTACGAAAACTTAAGCAATAAAAAACTATGCCATGCCAACAATATTTGTCTGAAAAAGCTGCCTTTTTGTGAATTCTAGTTTATACAATGTTTGTTTCAGGCATTTAAGTACACTGAATTGCATAAATCTACACATGACCAATGGGTGTTATGTATACTGTACAAACATTGCAATGTATTTTTGTATGGCAATATACATCTTTCAAACACAATTCATCACATACTAATAAATGAAAGTCTGAAGTAAGAGAAATACATAATAGTGGGCATTATTTTGCATGCAGAGTTAAATTACTGCATTATGTTGAGGGTTTTGGCATATAATGGGTGGCACTGTATATAAGCCCATTACGACAGCTTTGATTTCTGTTTCACAAACAACCATTAAAACACAAACAATGATATACTAACATGATTGTCTTCAAATACAATTCCCTACAGTGAAATGCTTTTAAGATGTCATGGTTTATGGCGCATAAATAATAATTTTAAAACTTTAATGGGAGTAAATTTTTACCCTTATACAATTTTGACATAAACTATTCAAACCTTTTACATCTGATACAAATAAGATGTTTATTCTTTTTTTTTCTTTTTTCCTATGAATTGTCTTACTTTTAATTCTTGAAAGCATTGAAAATGACAGTGGTTGGCCTCAAGTACAATGACTTTAATAAGTCTGCATTATAACTATACATATTTGACTGATAATCTTCATACACAGAAATATACAATGTTTTAAATACATCTAGTCATTAATATTTATATTTTGCATCTGTTTGTGCTTTCATTTGCTTGATGACGCCAGCTAATTTTTTCCTGTCTTCAATAAATTTCTTGAAGCCAACAACAAGTTCACTGAAAAGACAAATTTGTGAAAAAATTAAAAGGCAGTTATTTACTTCAATAAGCTGCACAGATTTTGTGATAATAAGTTTTCTTCTAATGTGGAGGGTATTGCAATGGGTCAAGTTGAAACTATCTTTTGTCAGTTCACATAAAAAAGTAATTGGGCCAAGAGGTTCAGAGGCATTATTCCAACTATTTGATATCATGTATTGTAATACCTGTAATTGACCTCCCCATCCCCATCCCTGTCTAGCTCTCCTAACAGCAGCTGGATATCATCCTCTGTCATGTTTATGCCACTGTCCTGAAATGGGGAATTAAATATATGGTGTCATACAAGAATATTGTCAGAATTACATTACTAGTACAGTAATGGTCCGATATATTCAACTTGGAAAAAATATCAATTATGTTGGTGCCTTTACCATATAAAATAGACCTTGTGTAGCTACCACTCCTTAGGAATGTTCTAAATTTAAGAAATTATTTCTTAAAAAAAGTACAGTACCTGTAAAATTAATAATTTTCCTGATTGAAATGATCCAGCCACTACCCTGTTTATGTAAAACTGGCAACAAAAATCTTCAAGATTATCATAATAATTATATGTATATACAAATTTTGTTAAATATGATTAGAAGAGTGATTTAATATATTAAGAATACTGTTAATAGTGATAATCAAACAGGTTTACCCTCATTCCTTGAGCAAACTCCTCATGGGTAACACTCATACTGTGATCCTCATCAAAACGGCAGAAGAAGTCAATCAGGCGTAAGTTTTGCTCTTCTAAGAACCGATCAATCTTCACCATGGGATGAACTTTGATCTCGGGCATCTCAAAAATCTCCATGCCTCCATGGTGGCACTTCAGTTCTGGGAATGTTTCTTGGACTTGTTTTAACAGATCCAGGAAGTCTGTGTTGACTAGGATACGCTGAAATGATTATCACCATAAAATATGAACATTATAAATGAACAAGATTGCTACATTTTTTTCTCCAAATTATTTCATGATAAAAAAGCTACAGATGCATAACTATTTAAGTTTAATTTTTACCATAAATCAATTAAATGCCAATTTATATACATATGTTGATTCCTTAATAGCATTATGAACATGTTAGACCAGACATGAAAAAAAGTAAATAGAATTCACTTCTTGGTTTGTTCTTATGAAAAACATCTCCATATTAATTTAACAATTCTTTCATTAGTATTTATAAACAATTTTTATGTCAGAAAATAAGAGGAAAAGGCAAAACACCTACCGAAAAATCCAGAGTGTGGAGAATATTGTTGGGGTTTTTTAGAACTGCTGTGAGAATTGCAAAACAACCAGCACTTTGCATAGGATTCATCCCAATCTGTAACAAAAAAAAAAAAGGAAATGTGTCAACTTTAAAATTCCTTTTACATGAACCCTGATCAAAGACAACCCAAAAACTGCAGAGATGTAGCTCATTGTGGGAATAAAAAAAGAAGAGGGAGGGGGGGGGGGGTACCTCCACAAGCTGCTTAAGGCAAAGACCAAATGAATGAATACCTCAGACCAACCATGACTGTAAAGAAATATACAAAAGACATTACTGGGGTAGCGCTAACACTCGCCAATTTAGCCAAATGCTAAAACTGATTTAAACTGGCTAAAGAAAAAGGGCTTCATTTGACATGTTTTAGCCAAATTATAACCATTTTGATAACAAATTGACAAAAATGTGGTGATATGGCTAAGCGAAAAAAATTGCCAGTGCTACCCCAGCATTACATAATACCCCTCACTGGGTGACAGTCCTTCTATGCTGAATCTGCACATTGACAAATACAAGACAAAGCTATCTCTTACTAGTCACCTCACCACTCACCTTCAGCACTTTAAGTGATTCATTCACCATTAACCCCTTCCCAAATAAAACAGCACCTTCTGTATTGATACGGTTATTCCTGAAAATGTAGCAGTCTATATTTAATTTTACTATCATTTTTACCATCTTTATAAATAACATTTAGTGATCCTGTTAGAAAAGACTGTAAAATCGGTAGGTGCACAAGTTATTATCACATTATGATGCCTTTTTACAACTGCATGTACCCCCGTAGTAAAAAACATTACCAACTTTAATGCAAGTATAATGACACTTGAGTTACTTTTTTTTTTTCAAATAATAATAACTGTCATGGAAGTCAGGAACTGTAAAAAAAATGGAAGCATGATGTGCTATTATAATTTGCAAGGATACTTACGAGATATCAAGCTCCTCAAGTACTGAGTTTCCTTTCAAAGCATCTCCCAGAGCTATGGCACCCTCGTTCCCAAACCCATTCCAATCAAGATTAATTTTCTTCATAAACACATTATTCTGAAATTCAATGAAAAGCATATAGAGTATTAAAAATTTTATTACTGTCATGGTTGCCAAATGTGTTTAATCAAAATTTGATGTCTTACCACATAACATGTTATAAACAAAAGTTAGTCAATATTTGAAATCAAAATTCATTTTGATTGCATTTTTGTGCTTTTTCCTTTTTACACAGTGCTAACTTCAAATTTTCTAAAATAAACCAATAAAAAAACATGTGGACAATTTCTTTTGAAAAACATCCTCCAAAAACTTTATAGCCACATTTTGGAATTATGGAGTTCTCTGCATGACCTAAAAATCATTTTTAATGAAATCAAGAAATTTTCAACATGGCATTTTTATGTCATACATCTGTACTGCTCATCATCATTACAGATAATTGACTTGAAATCATATTGTAGTTATTCATGAAAATGTATGAAGATATAAATAATCAAACTGGGTTTTTAATAGTAATAATATTTACTTGAATTTAAAAATCCCTTAAAAATCTTGACAATACTTTACAAAGTAATAATTAAAAGTAAACTACCTTAATCCCTTGTGCCACAGCTACTGCTCCTTTGGCTCTGATGCAGTTCCAGCTCAGATTCATCTCTTTGATAGAACTGTTTTCAGATATGGCTGGACCCAATAACACTCCACCCACCTCACCAAGCTTATTCTGACTTAGATCTAAAAATTCTAATTTTTGCGTATTCTGAAAATCAAATGTAAAATGAATATTTTTAAAAATAAGGGAGAACCTGATGCTATACATTCCATTTTGTTTGAAAGACAATTGTTGCTCAGTAAGTGGTTTCATTATTAAGTTTTAATAATTTTGTCTTACAAATGATTTGTTTTTCTCACCATTATTGCTTCTGCAATGTGTTCAGCTGCCTTGTCATCCAAGTCATTCCCTGTACAGAGAGGAGGAATAAAAGATGTTAAAAAAAACTGTATGTTTGGTGTTGTACTTGTGAAATGAACTAAAATCTATCATTTCTATGACAAATCACTGCATAATACTAATTATTCATCTTGGTTTTTAAATGATGCTGTGCAAGTTAAATTATATGAGATCAAATATGAACTATGAAATACTGAACAGGATTAACAAATATTACTACCCTGAACATGTGCCTACTTCAGCACACAGCGTATTCAATTTTTTCATTACCTGAGAGTGTTATATGAGTGAGTGTATTGCTATTCTGTATAATGTCAGAGAGATCTTTGGCAGATTCAGTCCCAAGTTTGTTATCTGAAAGATTCTGAAAAAGGAAAATAATGGTGAATTTAACGCCAAAATTGAAGTTAATTTATTTAAAGAAAGCTCAATGTGCATGTGGGAGTTCACTTTATTTTTTCATAAAATTCCTGAATTCTCATAATTATTACAATTAACATCAGTCCAAAAATGTTGACAGAAAAGTGTACTTACCAGTTCTGTAATATAACAGTTTTCTTTAAGCATCTCACACACTGAATGTCCACCAGAAGGCCCAAGCCAGTTGTCACTGAGGTCTAACTTCAGTACATTAGTGTTACTCTGCTCAATAGAATACACTCTCTTTAGTTTTTTTTATAATGAGAAAATCCAGCAAATCTTATTTAGCCTGTTATTATGCATCCAGTGAAGTTTTAAGTTTGACTTATTCATTTATAAAATCAGACAAAAAGTGTCAATTCTGTTTTGTTAATATTAATAACTACTACAACTAATAATAATAATAATAATAATAATAATAATAATAATAATAATAATAATAACAATTATAATAATGGTGATAATGACAATGATTATGATAAAATAATAAAACCGAATAAAATAAAATATTTTCTATGAAGCCAATGAGATGCATGTGACGCACATTAGAAAGCCATTAAATAATTAATTATCAGCATCATAATATTTGATGTGTGTACAAAAGTTCTTACCACTAAAGCCACAGACACTGCTTTAGTTCCCATGGGACCTAGTCCATGATGTCTAAGCTGTAGATTGCTATCATTCATGTGCTTGATGAAATATGTCACAGGAACTACTCCCCCTTTTTTGCAGGCCTCCATGTAGGTCGCTTTTCCTGTATTATCATAATTTCTATTTCCATCTGAAAAAATAACCAATGATATATATTAATATATTATAATATCTAGAATCTTTTTTTTTAATGAACAATACACATGAAAGAATTTAAATTTTTCATTCTTAAATTCTTTAATTTCATGTTTACCCAGTACTCATTTTGTCATCAGGGATTCAAATTTTTGGTACATGGGGAATAGCCATGAAATCTACAGATCAAGTAACAATATACATGCACTTCAAAAATGTGTGAAACACTTATCCACACTGAAAAAATGAATACAATGATACTTGGGTGTTGCCGTCAATAGGAAAATAACTTCACTGCAAGGTTTGGCAAACAGTGTGTAACTCTGCAGGTACTTAAGTGATCCCCACAATACAGTGAAGCCCACAATACAGTGGCAGGAGAGAGCAGTAAAGAAGAAACCCAAACAGTCCAAGTCCCCAGCTTTGTATGTGTGTAAACAGTTTTCACTCAGCAATAATATAATATGCTAATGGAGAGACTTTACCTAAGGCACAATAAAATGTTTGACTTGCAAAATAACTGAACACACAAAACAGAGTTTCCATTTCTAATTCAATACAATGACACAACAAAATCATATTTATTTTGACTTGGCATGCTGCTTTAATTCATATAAGCCATAAGATTAAAATAATCTGGGTTTACTTAAAATGCGTAATATAATATCCACACCATAACAGAAAAAAAGAGGCCGCCATAAGTATTTAGGCAAATAAAACACACTTTAAAATAAGAATCAGCTGAAGATTTCAGAAGAAGAGCTTGTTTTACCTCAGGTTGTCTGCTCTGATTCCTGCTGAGATAACAAAAAGATCAATAACAAAGGTCTCTCTTTTGCTTTGTGCCAGAGGAATAACAATGTCCTTTCTTTTAGAATAAAAACTAATCTCATCAGGATCGATAAGTTCTACAAGCCGAATGTTTAAACAACTGAAACTAGAATAAGGCTCCTATTTATAAATCAATATTGCCTGTGGGTAGAGCCGTGATTTCAGTTCAAGAAAATTAATCTAGTCATCCATAATATATAAACATTTGTTAGGATCATGCAGAATTTTTGCAAAAAGTGGATAACCTACCACATTTATTTTACTGTTATTAATAGTTGCAATTAATTAATTCTATCATCTCTAGTAACAGAAATTTTTGCTTATCCCAATATATGTTAGTAACTAGTACTTAAGTACACAATGTTAACAGTGACCCCACACCAAATGCCAATTAAACTGGACCCAGGCCAGTAAAATTAGGTATATCTAAATATGTTACCAAACACTGTTTCTGTCTTGGGCCATTAGATTATTAGAACCCAGTGGCCTAAATGACAAGAAAGCTAAAAGATTTTAGGGCACAAACTGATATTAAATACTTCAATTTTCCATTTAGATGAGCTGTTTCACAAAATACTAATTTTAATTGAGTATCCTATTATATTCCATGTCAACAATTCCTTGACAATTTCTTATTCACTGAAAGGAAAAATTTACATAAAAAGTATTTATAAATCTGCCTCTCCCCAAAAAACATAAGTACAGATCAGAACAAATAACATTTTCTTTACCTTCTGATTCTAAATCTGTATCCCACCCTTTATCATCTGTGATTTCTACATTGGTAAGATTAGTTTCTGGGTCAGATAGGGACAAACTTCCTTCCTCCTCCATCTCCTCATCCTCATAAATAAATTCCTCTGCTTCTAGCTCTTCCTCCTCAAGCTCCTCCTCTTCATCTACCTCCTCTATCACACTGTCTTCTCTCTCGAGGTTGGAGGACCTCGATGAACTTCTCTGGCGTATGGACTGTGCACTGCTGTCTCTTGTGCCCTACAGATTTACAACAATAAAAATACAATGAACAAAACGTCAAATCTATCATAAGCATCGTGAACAAAACAATAATCCCGTGCTTTCTGCCCAGTAGATTATCTAAACGTTGTACCTGCTGTCAATCTGACAAAGGCTGCAATTATTCCAACATTTTTAACCAACCTGTTTAAGCACACTCCTACTTGCTCTCCCAATGTGAGCATGGGTTGTATGCACTCCCTGCATCTTGTTGAATTGTCTTAATTGTCATATAATAGAAATCCTTAATCCCCTGATTATATGATGATATAGTTATGTCTTCTGCTAATGACAGACCTAGCAACTACGTGTACAACAGGTTAAGCAACACTGTACTGCTTTCGAAACTTGATACCTTATTATATCTAACTTGATATGCTTTTACCATAGAATCAATGCCTGCTATGATTTTTACAGCTGACTGCCATAGTAAAATTAGCAAAGGGAAAAAGAATTTGGATGAATTTCAATGCTGCTTTCTCTACAAAATCAATCATTTCCATTAAGAACTGTAAACATGTTCAACAAAACATCAAGATCAATGCACCCTTTATTCAGAGATAAAAGTCAGAAATCATGGCTAGCGAACTTACAGACAAACTTTTTTCAAACTCAAGTCAAAGGTCTTGTTTAATCATTCTAAAATAGCATTTCAGTGTTTACTAAAAGTCTGTCAGAAAAGAATAATCCATAGATCATTAAACATGGTATTGTAAATGAAGAAAATCCTCACAAATGAATGTTTTGAAACGAAGAATAACTTCATGAGAATCCATATGATTAATATTAAAGTGGTTAGACATAATGTTTATTTACAAAATTTACCAAACATATAGTAATATAAAATACAGACATGTGTATTATATAAATTGTACCAGCATCTGACCCCTTTTTGAAGCAAATATAGCAATCATTCTACTTTTCAAACTTTTCATGACTAATGCCGTTTTTATCTCCTTGTTTTGATCTGTAAATGTTGTGTTAATTTTTTTCACTGAAATAAATACATATTTATAAGTTGGACAAAAATATTTACTTTGTAAAACTAGTAATCCAATATAAAAATGTTCTTAATTTACCTGAACTTGTGTTCCTGCTGTATCATTGGAGTGGTGTTTATGTTTGTGCCCTCTTTTCTTTCCCTTCACCTTCTTTCTTTTCTTTTGATCTATTTCCAATTCCTCACCTCCCCTAGTACTATCTGCTTCTTTAACAGTAACTGGGAATTGGCCTTTCCCTACTTTTGTCGACTGTCTATAGGGAATAGACATGTTGAGAATTAAGATATTTCTACTCAAATTATTCAAAGAAATCTTTAAAAATTAAAATTTCCTCAAACAAAGGCTTATGGCTATCCACGTTGAAGTGTGTCCATGATCTGGTGTGGTGTGAGCTCAGCATGTGGGTTTCTGTCACTGTGTCAGTGTCAAGTAACTGTTAAGTTGAAGACTTCAGTGCCCCTTGCTCAATCAAAGGAGGTTCTAAAACCAACTGAGCCATGTCCTTTGCTGTTTATAATTTTAATATTGTTATATTTAATTTCAATAGTTATGTAAACCTCACATATGTTTCATTCATACAATAAATTCAATCAATTTTACGCTTGATTTAATTAGGGTACTACTGCATTGATCAGTTGTTTATGTTGCTAAGGTAGGTTGGAGACATACTACAAATCCTTTTCACAAAATCTTATGAGCTGATTTATAATGTCAATAGAATTTTTCACCTTATTACACTGGCTGTGGCACTCTTCAAAAACCTATGTAAACACAGAAAACAATAAGGCCACACTGTTGTTCTTGCAAGCACTGCTTTTGTTTACTTACACCGTAAGTATTGTGTACACGTTCAAATGCGCTAGCGGAAATGCGTTTGATGTCGGACTAGTGCGTCTTCGCCACACTGCGCCACCTAGAGTATATTTTTATTTAATTTCTAGAAAACGTGACGCCATCCGATCCGACGCACTTACTATTTTTTTGAAAAAAATATCTAAAATCGAACAATATGCCACGTAGAGGGGGAGGAGGAATGAAAGCTCCAGCACGACCTGCGCCAGTAAGGTAAATTTAAAGTCCCAGGCGATCAAAACGTTAGATAATTTTTGTTTGCAAATCTAGCCGCGGTTGCATAAGCGTTGACATTGAAATTAGAACAAATAAAAAAAGCGAGAATTTTGTCGTAAACTTTTACCAACACATGTATTTCACTTTTTATGCTTCATCGACACTTCTAATTTTCTTTGGAAGAAAAGATGCCTGTTTGCTTTTATCAAGTCTGTGTCTGCTACACTGATTTAAAATAGGTATTATCAGAAAAATTTTCAAACTGATCAGAAAATTAAAATACTTATATCATCTGAAAGGTAATGCAAAAACTGGATGAAATCATTTGGAATTTTTTAAATATTCCTACAAGCNAACTAATAATAATAATAATAATAATAATAATAATAATAATAACAATTATAATAATGGTGATAATGACAATGATTATGATAAAATAATAAAACCGAATAAAATAAAATATTTTCTATGAAGCCAATGAGATGCATGTGACGCACATTAGAAAGCCATTAAATAATTAATTATCAGCATCATAATATTTGATGTGTGTACAAAAGTTCTTACCACTAAAGCCACAGACACTGCTTTGGTTCCCATGGGACCTAGTCCATGATGTCTAAGCTGTAGATTGCTATCATTCATGTGCTTGATGAAATATGTCACAGGAACTACTCCCCCTTTTTTGCAGGCCTCCATGTAGGTCGCTTTTCCTGTATTATCATAATTTCTATTTCCATCTGAAAAAATAACCAATGATATATATTAATATATTATAATATCTAGAATCTTTTTTTTTTAATGAACAATACACATGAAAGAATTTAAATTTTTCATTCTTAAATTCTTTAATTTCATATTTACCCAGTACTCATTTTGTCATCAGGGATTCAAATTTTTGATACATGGGGAATAGCCATGAAATCTACAGATCAAGTAACAATATACATGTACTTCAAAAATGTGTGAAACACTTATCCACACTGAAAAAAATGAATACAATGATACTTGGGTGTTGCCGTCAATAGGAAAATAACTTCACTGCAAGGTTTGGCAAACAGTGTGTAACTCTGCAGGTACTTAAATGATCTCTTAACTCGAGTGTGAAGCCCACAATACAGTGGCAGGAGAGAGCAGTAAAGAAGAAACCCAAACAGTCCAAGTCCCCAGCTTTGTATGTGTGTAAACAGTTTTCACTCAGCAATAATATAATATGCTAATGGAGAGACTTTACCTAAGGCACAATAAAATGTTTGACTTGCAAAATAACTGAACACACAAAACAGAGTTTCCATTTCTAATTCAATACAATGACACAACAAAATCATATTTATTTTGACTTGGCATGCTGCTTTAATTCATATAAGCCATAAGATTAAAATAATCTGGGTTTACTTAAAATGGGTAATAAAATATCCACACCATAACAGAAAAAAGAGGCCGCCATAAGTATTTAGGCAAATAAAACACACTTTAAAATAAGAATCAGCTGAAGATTTCAGAAGAAGAGCTTGTTTTACCTCAGGTTGTCTGCTCTGATTCCTGCTGAGATAACAAAAAGATCAATAACAAAGGTCTCTCTTTTGCTTTGTGCCAGAGGAATAACAATGTCCTTTCTTTTAGAACAAAAACTAATCTCATCAGGATCGATAAGTTCTACAAGCTGAATGTTTAAACAACTGAAACTAGAATAAGGCTCCTATTTATAAATCAATATATTATATTGCCTGTGGGTAGAGCCGTGATTTCAGTTCAAGAAAATTAATCTGGTCATCCAAAATATATAAACATTTGCTAGGATCATGCAGAATTTTCGTAAAAAGTGGATAACCTACCACATTTATTTTACTGTTATTAATAGTTGCAATCAATTAATTCTATCATCTCTAGTAACAGAAATTTTTGCTTGTCCCAATATATTATAGTAACTAGTACTTTAGTACACAATGTTAACAATGACCCCACACCAAATGCCAATTTAACTGGACCCGGGCCAGTAAAATTACGTATATCTCAATATGTTACCAGACAGTTACTGTCTTGGGCCATTAGATTCTTAGAACCCAGTGGCCTAAAGGACAAGAAAGCTAAAAAATTTTAGGGCACAAACTGATATTAAATACTTCAATTTTCCATTTTGATGAGCTGTTTCACAAAATACTTATTTTAATTGAGTATCCCATTATCTTCCACATCAACTATTCCTTGACAATTTGTTATTCACTGAAAGAAAAAATATTATGTAAAAAATTTATGCAGTACTAGTATTTATAAATCTGCCTTTCCCCAAAAAACTGAAGTACAGATCAGAACAAATAACATTTCTTTACCTTCTGATTCTAAATCTGTATCCCACCCTTTATCATCTGTGATTTCTACATTGGTAAGATTAGTTTCTGGGTCAGATAGGGATAAACTTCCTTCCTCCTCCATCTCCTCATCCTCATAAATGAATTCCTCAGCTTCTATCTCTTCCTCCTCAAGCTCCTCCTCCTCGTCTACCTCCTCTATCACACTGTCTTCTCTCTCGAGGTTGGAGGACCTCGATGAACTTCTCTGGCGTATGGACTGTGCACTGCTGTCTCTTGTGCCCTACAGATTTACAACAATAAAAATATAATAAACAAATCATCAAAACTATCATAAACATCATTAACAAAACAATAATCCCCTGTGTTTTCTGCCCAGTGGATTAAAAAACGTTGTACCTGCTGTCAATCTGACAAAGGCTGCAATTATTCCAACCTTTTTAACCAACCTGTTTAAGCACACTCCTACTTGCTCTCCCAATGTGAGCATGGGTTGTATGCACTCCCTGCATCTTGTTGAATATTTCTGTCTTGAATGTCATATGATAGAAATCCTTAATCCCCTGATTATATGATGATATAGTAATGTCTTCTGGTAATGACAGACCTAGCAACTACATGTACAACAGGTTAAGCAACACTGTACTGCTTTCGAAACTTGATACCTTATTATATCTAACTTGATATGCTTTTACCAAAGAATCAATGCCTGCTATGATTTTTACAGCTGACTGCCATAGTAAAATTAGCAAAGGGAAAAAGAATTTGGATGAATTTCAATGCTGCTTTCTTTACAAAATCAATCATTTCCATTAAGAACTGTAAACATGCTCAACAAAACGTCAAGATCAATGCACCCTTTATTCAGAGATAAAAGTCAGAAATCATGGCTAGCGAACTTACTGACAAACTTTTTTCAAACTCAAGTCAAAGGTCTTGTTTAATCATTCTAAAATAGCATTTCGGTGTTTACTAAAAGTCTGTCAGAAAAGAATAATCCATAGATCATTTAACATGGTATTGTAAATGAAGAAAATCCTCACAAACGAATGTTTTGAAACGAAGAATAAATTCATGAGAATCCATATGATTAATATTAAAGTGGTTAGACATAATGTTTATTTACAAAATTTACTAAACATATAGTAATGTAAAATATAGACATGTGTATATAAATTGTATCAGCATCTGACCCCTTTTAGAAGCAAATATAGCACTCATTCTACTTTTCAAACTTTTCTATGACTAATTAATGCTGTTTTTATCTCCACGTTTTGATCTATAATTATGTAATTTTTTTCCACTGAAATAAATACATATTTATATGTAGGACAAAAATATTTACTTTGTAAAACTAGTAATTCAATATATATATACATATATTTTTTTTAATTTACCTGAACTTGTGTACCAGCTGTATCATTGGAGTGGTGTTTATGTTTGTGTCCTCTTTTCTTTCCCTTCACCTTCTTTCTTTTCTTTTGATCTGTTTCCAATTCCTCACCTCCCCTAGTACTATCTGCTTCTTTAACAGTAACTGGGAATTGGCCTTTCCCTACTTTTGTCGACTGTCTATAGGGAATAGACATGTTGAGAATTAAGATATTTCTACTCAAATTATTCAAAGAAATCTTTAAAAATTAAAATCTCTCCAAAGGCTTATGGCTATCCACATTGAAGTGAGTCCATGATCTGGTGTGGTGTGAGCTCAGCATGTGGGTTTCTGTCACTGTGTCAGTGTCAAGTAACTGTTAAGTTGAAGACTTCAGTGCCCCTTGCTCAATCAAAGGAGGTTCTAAAACCAACTGAGCCATGTCCTTTGCTGTTTATAATTTTGATATTGTTACATTTAATTTCAATAGTTATGTAAACCTCACATATGTTTCATTCATACAATAAATTCAATCAATTTTACGCTTGATTTAATTAGGGTACTACTGCATTGATCAGTTGTTTATGTTGCTAAGGTAGGTTGGAGACATACTACAAATCCTTTTCACAAAATCTTATGAGCTGATTTATAATGTCAATAGAATTTTTCACCTTATTACACTGGCTGTGGCACTCTTCAAAAACCTATGTAAACACAGAAAACAATAAGGCCACACTGTTGTTCTTGCAAGCACTGCTTTTGTTTACTTACACCGTACGTATTGTGTACACGTTCAAATGCGCTAGCGGAAATGCGTTTGATGTCGGACTAGTGCGTCTTCGCCACACTGCGCCACCTAGAGTATATTTTTATTTAATTTCTAGAAAACGTGACGCCATCCGATCCGACGCACTTACTATTTTTTTGAAAAAAATATCTAAAATCGAACAATATGCCACGTAGAGGGGGAGGAGGAATGAAAGCTCCAGCACGACCTGCGCCAGTAAGGTAAATTTAAAGACCCAGGCGATCAAAACGTTAGATAATTTTTGTTTGCAAATCTAGCCGCGGTTGCATAAGCGTTGACATTGAAATTAGAACAAATAAAAAAACGCGAGAATTTTTGTCGTAAACTTTTACCAACACATGTATTTCACTTTTTTATGCTTCATCGACACTTCTAATTTTCTTTGGAAGAAAAGATGCCTGTTTGCTTTTATCAAGTCTGTGTCTGCTACACTGATATAAAATTGGGATCAATTTCATATTAGGTTTGGGGTACTCTATCTGTAGACTTCATGTCATGAACTTACATGTAATATTAAAAATATATGTCCACATTAAAAACGTCTGAGGCAGATATACAAAATATTTAAAATGCATAATGACAGCATAAAACCTGCTGTCTTGCCCCAATCTTTGTATTGAACAGAAAGAAGTATTTACCTTAAAATTCTGAGGTATGGTGCCTTTTTCATGAATGCGGAGTATAAAGCAAGTAAATTTTGTCATCATAATATTGGTTTGAACTTGGAAATTATACAAGATTGACCCCCCCCCCCCCTTGTGGAGCTCCAAAGGCTTCCCCCCCCCCCCCTTACCCCAATTAGAGGTCACAGCTCAGATTTGTGTTCAAAATGAAGGCTTGTCGAAGGCTGTCTGAAAATAAAAAATAAAAAAAGATAAAAAAATTAATAAAATGAAATAATATAGTAATAAATGAAAACGACATGCCACGTATAAACTGCAAGCTAGTAGTTTATTTGTTTTATAATTGAGTATTATCATTCATGTTCCAGGTCTGTCCCTGCACCCAGGCCAGCTGCCCCGCCAGCACCTCAGCAGCCCAAGCAGCCTGGTCTGTTTGCTCAAATGGCAACAACTGCTGCGGGAGTGGCTGTGGGATCAGCAGTGGTAAGGGTTCCAGTTCAGTCAAACAGACTTTATTAATGCTTCGGTTGTTATTGCTTGGGTTGTTTGAAGTCTGTTATGTTATCTCAGTAGTGATATTCAGATGATAAGGAGAGAAAATCATGTAATTATTATGTTGTAGTTACAGCATATCATTAATTTTGTAGCAACATGTTGTAAACATGCATTTGTCAGCTGTATCAAACCACAAAATTAAAATGATATAATTTAGTAAGGTAAAGTTTAATACAATTCTTACATGCACAAGTCAAAAAAAAATATATAAGAAAAAAAAATAATAAAATAAAAACTAAAGCAAGCACTTCAAGCTTTTACAAGACTGCTGTCAATTTAAATTTTTTAAAAAAAGTTGTCATTTTCATTCAGGGTCACACCATAGGTGCTGCTATGACTGGAGGGATGGGGGGCGGGGCTGCCGAGCAGCAACAACCTGCAGCACCACAGCAGTATGGCCAACCAGAACAGCAACAGAATGCATGTGGATATGAACTCCAGCGCTTCTTGGATTGCTCCAACCAGTACAGTGATGTCTCCCTGTGCAGTGGGTTCCTTGAGGCACTCAAATCATGCAGGACACAGTATGGTAAGATAGAGGGTTAATTTTTTTTCCATGGTGTTCAAGCATGTTAATAAGATATGTGGAATATTGTGAATTTTTTCTTTTGTTCAAAAGAAAACCTTTGGCTAAAAAGATTAAATAAAGCTTTGGGATGTTTCTTACGCAGATCTTTTGTCTCTTTTCAGGTTTACAGCAGTAACATACCATGCTTCTGATTACAAGGCCTCTCAAGACACTGAACTTTTCAGCTTTTTCATGCACAGGAACTTAAAATCTGGAATGAACTTTTACATAGAGAGTGATGTGATACAAATGTTGGGTTGTTTATTGCACTGATTGAATTCTGGATTTAGCACATATGAAAACAATTGGTAATTTGTGCATGTATTTTAGACTGCCAGTTTTATGACATTGTTTTGTACATCTTTCACTCACTTAACGTGTAAAGTTATGAACAGATCTCAGGAAAAAACCTTATATGAAGTGGCATTTACTTTGAGAAACAATCTAATGTATATAATTTAAATGGTGTTGTGTTTTCATCAGTCATTAAATCAATAATTGAATTTCTACAATTTGTGTCATAATTTCTTGGCAACAAAGCAAAATTTACACCTTTCACAAACTGGACTTTGAGATACTTAAAACCCACCTTACAGATTCTAATTTAGAAACTAGGCTCTTTGTTTAATTTCAAGCAAGCATTGCTGGCTTAAACTGATAACTTTTTACCATCAGTATATCAATGAATGTTTCAATTGCTACAAAAATGTATTATGAATAAAAGCCACTCAAAAATTACTGTCTATGGGTACATTTTCCCAAATAAAAAAATCCACAAAAAAATTTAATTATCAATTTACAGAAAATCAACTTCCTAAGGATAAATATAACATGATTATAACTATCCTTGCAAAATGTCAGTCACAGTAGGAGCATACAAATTTAACACAACAGATATCACGATTAAAAAAAAATAAAAAATTGTGCCACATCAACTGTGCACTCACCATAACATGTACTATACATTGTGCCCAGTAAAGCCAATGGTTGCAGCAAATTCAAATTATATAATCCTCACCAGTCCTAAAGGCCAGGGGAGGTGCGAAGGGATCATCATATGTCAGGAAAAGGTTTCTACAGGTTTTATCATTCTCATTAACTTTTGCTTTACTTCTGTTGATGATGCTATTGGTCTTTGCTTTGACAATCCCATGACATTTAGTCCATGCAACTAAAGCTCACATTAACATTGTTTTTAATGAAGATTTTACATGACTCGGAGCCTACCAGAAAGTGAATTCTTATAAGTTGTACAAATATTTTACCAACATTTATTTATACATTTTACTTTAAGGTGGGTTATACCATAATATAGTTCTCCTCCTGTTTGTAGCCCTTTTATTGGCAATGCTCTGTATTTGAGTTTGTGATATGACCCTGCAGAGGCAAGGGCATTTTGATATTCTCTCCTAGATGTTTTTCATCCCTGGACATAACAGCAAAATAATTTAATAGCATCATATTTCTGCAAGAGGAAGAATTTCAACTGTCCCTACGTGCATACTAATGCTAGAGGTTTCATCTGAGATTTCTCCTCCTAAACTGGGAAACTCTTCACAAAGGTCCCTCTCATTGTCCAACTATGGCATGATCACACACTTACAACTTTTTGGGGAAGAAAATTGCTCTGGAATAAAGAAAAATTCCAATAGAAAATGGCTTATGTTACAAACTAAAGATTAAAATGCTAGAATTACAGGACAATCAAAACCATATTAAATGGTGTCAAATGACAGAATTGTCAGCTTTCTACATGTGTACCACTCTCAACATCAAATCAGTGAAAAGATCCGACGCAGATTTCCATTTGCAAGTGATGGTGGCAAGTCAATCATTACAGACTTTCTCCCAATTCATAAGTGCTTTAGTATCTTTTACCTCCATAAATCTGTCCACATACTTTCTTGTCAAGCCTGTTATTTTTCTCAGTTCATCCACCTGCAGAATTTGACATAATGAAATAGAAATGAAATAAAAATTTTATAAATGCTCATTTTATGCATGATCCTCTGTTGGAAACGAAAAGAGGTTTTCTTTTTTGGAAAACATCAAACTGGTTAGATATTCTTTACATGACTCAGAAAATTTGGTCATTTCTATTTGACAATACACATAAATCGATCTTATTTAGGCAGCTGTTGCTGTTCATTTCTTGTTACTTTTGAGATAGTTGTATACACCAAAGATCATTTGATATATATATGTACATTTTCAGAAATTTTGAATTTCATAGTCAGAAGCAGTCTACATATATAACTCTAAAAGCTATTAACAAGAACTTTGGCAGCACATATTTTCCCTTCTACAAAAAACCTTCCTAAAAAATATATGTATAAATGATAATTATAAAACAACCTTCAAACTCACATTTTGAAATTCTCCATGTTTCTCCCTCCACGAGTGTATACATTTGGCTCTTTTAGCCCCCACAGTCTGAAGAGTCAGCAGTTGATTTAAACTGCCTTTATTCAAAATGTGCAACACATCTGCATCTGAAAACAAATACTGCACCATCAAATGCTGCATAATGATTTGTAAGTCTGACATTAAATGTTTCATGATCTCTTTTAGCCCCCACAGTCTGAAGAGTCAGCAGTTGATTTAAACTGCCTTTATTCAAAATGTGCAACACATCTGCATCTGAAAACAAATACTGCACAGCACCATCAAATGCTGCATAATGATTTGTAAATCTGACATTAAATGTTTCATGATCAGGTGTATTACACAGAAACATTCACCTACTGGTTTTAATTTGATTAAAAAAGTAGACTTACAATGCCTTCGAGATTGCTCAGATTCTTTATTTTCTCGTTTCCTGTTCAATATGGCACTTGCATTTTCAAGATTGGTAAGATTGGCATTTTTGGAGTCTGGCAAATCACATCTATCTGAAAGACAAAACTCCACCATAAGATCACAATACAGGTGCTCAATACCTTCTAATGGTATTTGATACAAAGAATCGTTTTTTCCACTTTAGTAATATATAAATATGAATGAAATACAACAAAGGCAATGTTCAAAGATAAATTTGACTCAGTCTGCTTTATTAAGGCACTAACCTCCACAGTACATTATATTCTCTTTCACCCTCTCTTCAGTTTCTGCTTGTAGCCTGCTGAGTGCCATTCTGCACTGGGAAAGAGCCTCCACTGCTGGGCTGCCCACATGCTGTTTCTTGCATGCTATGTGGCTAGCAACTTCTGATTTCCTTTTTCTGGGAGTGTTTATTCTTTCCAAAATATTCTGTCCCAGTGATTCAAGTCTCTGGACAACTTCTTCTCTTAGATTGGTCTGACGCTGTAGTATTGGACTGAAGTACAAGGAAACAATGATTTTGATACAAGTCATGTTGAATTTCACTGTATACATTTCATATAACTAAATATGAAACCCATTAATCAAATGTCAATTATTTAAGGAAGAGAGATTTCTGAAACACTTCCACTTGGGATTAAGTTTGAAAAAATTATAATATGAGATTCAGAGAATTATCAACTGAAAGATAATTAATTCCTAAGGTTCAAATATAGTATTACCTCAGAAATTCAACTGAATTTGTTGTGGTGGGTACAGTAGATAGAGTTCTTCTGTGCTTGCTCTTTAAACCATGACCACTTTCAACATTTCTGCCAGTTCCAGCAAATGAGGCATCAGTTTCTTGGAGTACTGTAGGATCTACCAATAATCAGGAGTGACTTTTAACACAATAAACAAGCAAATAAATATAGGTGCTGAAAAAATATGACACTATTTTTTAAGTAATTTTCCCTAATGACTTAAAAGATAAATATAAAACGAGCATGGTTTTGCAGTAACGCTTTTAAACCACTTCCACTAGTTTCTCATACTATTCAAATAAAATCTACATGTCAAAAGAGCAACCAAATTAATCACTAGATCTGCCATAAAAGAGCTTTAAAACTGCACCTTCTGCAATTTTTTGGGGAAATATTTTACTGATGTGTAATATGATTAAATCAAAACTCAGTAAATCATTACAATGCCTTGAACTAACCGTAAACCAATATTTACAACAAACCTCTTGTAGTTTCCTTCTTATAAGTTTTGTTTACAATCTTTTTACTCTTTTTGGCAAAGTTCAGAGTAGTATAAGTGTCCCAGTAATTTCTCAGCTCAGGGGCAATATTAACTATCATCAGGGTGTGGCTATTGCCACCCAGAGAATCCTGCAAATATAAATTACACTTACTGTCAATATTGATACTTAGATACTTTTGTTTTCATTTTACCTACATGAGCCTAGGTTTCAAAAAAAAAAAAAAAAAAAAATCTGAACATTTATCATGGCACCCAACACCTAACAGTCCGGGGTTCTGGGGGAATTCCACGTTTTCAGGAAAAAAAAAAAAATTCATTACTATTTTTATCAAATATTTAAATTTTGTGAATTACTTATATTTTGAATTGGTTACATCAATCATACACATTACAATATTATTAGATTTCAAACAGAGATGTTTTCAACTGATTTTTAAAATACTTTGGCTAACATTGTCAACTGACAACAAAGTACCTGCAGAATTCTGGTTAGCTTGCTGCTCCTGTAGGGTGGACAAGGCTGTAAAATATTTTAACAATAAGTAAAACAATGGAAAACTAATTATCAAAAAATATATAAATTATACAACATGTAAAAATTAAAATTCAAATAAAAAATTTGTTAAAGATTTGAAAGTGTAACATACCCTTCCATGTGTTAGAGCATCCACAACTTGGCTGAGTACTGACAGGCTCTTGTTAATAGCACCACTCTCCTGAAGCCTGCAAATTAGACATATGACAAACTAATGTTTCTGATAAGCATACTTTTCTGGCGCAGCTCATCACTCTAAAATTTATTCAGATGCTAAACTATTTTCTTTAATAAAATCTTTAAAAATGAATAAAAAATAGCATCAAATTCCCAAAGCAAGGGGGACCATGATATGCACCTGAGTCCTTTATTTTCCGTTTTCTTGTTGTTTTCACTTCCAGCTAAATCAATGAGGAACAGTTTGCCAGTAAGCCTCTTATATGGCTTCACCATTTGTTGTTTCTCCACTTTCAGCATCATAATGCTGTGACTGCGACTGGATGTTGCATTCAGTTTTGTAGAAGCAGTGGTTCTATAAAGAGAAGAAAATTCAACCTACATAAATTTTTCTGTAAATTTCTTTCATGATAAAAAATCTGAGAACTTTCAACTAGAATGGTGAAAACAGCTCTTTCTATTAAATATAAAAAATGAAATTTACCTTTTCCTTGACGCTGGACCAAACCATTTCTTGAAATCATTGTAATTTTCTACAGGTTTCTCTGTTAATCCTACAACAAATATGTTCCTTTTTCTATCCTCTCTGATTGGAAGATCACATGACTTTGGCACCAAAAGATCCCGAACCTAAAGGACATTCAATATATATATTTACAAAAGTAATTTCACTTTCTAAAAATGTTGACATTTATATAATGACTTATATTAACTGTTGCAATTATTTCACTGCAAGAGTGGTTTCAACTTTATAAAATGCTGTTAAAAATCACATTCCATTTGCAGCACATCAACAGCACTCTCCTTTCTTCTCCTTATCATTTCTTTCTTTTTGTAATGCACCCTACTGTTATCTGCAATTTGTTTCACTGTTTAGTATCAAATCAATGTTCCAGATCACCTTTTCATTGTAAATCTCAAAATAAGACAGCAACACTGAATGCTGCCACTCTTGATCCCCACTGTTCTCAGTGAGTCTGCATATTTCATTGACTGTTCTTGGTATAACTCCTGGCTCTTGAGGGGTTCCAAGCATAGTGTATGTTTTACCTAAAATATTTTAATGTACTTGAAAAAAATAAACACTTCAGTAAAGCCAACATATCTATGTCCAATACCTTACTTCGTAGCTTTATTATAAAAGTAAAAACTGAGCAAACAGATAGATCCTATAGCAGACAGAATGTTGAAAAATTATGTTATGATTTCACATCATATTCAATTCGATATTTACCGGCTCCTGTGGGTCCATAAGCAAAGACCGTCATGTTTTCTCCATTCAAAACATAAGGCACCAAAGGCCTTACATGCTGATTAAAAATATCTGCTTGACTTGACTCTGGTCCAAACACAGCACTAAACCTGAAAAGAAGGGCGAATACGACTTTATATTGTTATCCTTCCACAAAAGTAACAAAAGCACTGAACTCCCGACCAGTAATCCTATGCAGAAATGAGTCCAGAAAAAAGTCTGACGAAGACACAGCGAAACATGTAACAGTGATCGTCTTGTCTTTCAACTTTGTGAGTGTCAGGAGTGCTGAACTTAAAGTACATGTAAGTCTGCTTGAGCACCATGGGCACAGAGTAAGTATAAAATAGTAATGAATTCAAGCAGACAGAATACAGCATCCCCAGACTTTTTTCTGATCTTAAGTTCTGTGGCATTACAGTCTTTTGCAATCGTAACCAAATAATGCACCATGTTTTCTGTGGCACTTATGTATTTTAATAATCAAGACTTATTGGACAAATTTCACCGTGACAGCTAAAAAGTTGCCTCGACGCCACAACACGTCTCCCATGTTTTTAGCCTAAACTTTATCACTGGTTATGACTATCAAAGATGTCCCTCATTTGTTGGAATTGATTTGTATTTTAATACTTACTCATAGTGTAAATTTTCATTCACATCTCTGTGATTTAATATTTCAAGAGTGGTTTGGTTGACAACATGAACCTCTGCTTTCTCACTGCTGTCCAAGACAGGCCTCAGTCTGGTTACCACACTAATGAGACTGTCTTTTCTTTCCATTCTTCTGTAAAAAAAAATTGATATGATTAAATCACAGAATATCAAATATTTGTTTTTAAAAAATATCGTTATAAAATATACAACTAACTACTGTCATTTATATCAAAATGTACAACCCACATACTATGTAATTCAAATGTATTATGTAATGGTTATATGTACTAGTAAATTACTGTTGGTGTTAGTAAAGCAACCAGTTATAAAAACCAATGCCATAGCAGCCTTTCACATTTAAACTTCTTTAGTCTTCTTCTGATAACTTACTGATATTCATTATCAAAAACAAGGAACAAATTACATGAAATCACAACAAAGACAACTAAATACTTACTACACAGTTACAGTTTAATAAATGGCACATTTGCAAAAATAAGTTAACAAATATTATAACACAGACAGTTACGTACTTGGAGTAGTTCCCTACAAATTTACTGCCTTAAAAGTTACAGTAGTAGTAGTAGTAGTAGTAGTAGTAGTAGTAGTAGTAATATACACTGATGTGCTAGCTAGTATTCCTTTTTTACCAAAATAAGTTTTTCGCCCGTTTGCGTCAAAATATTGGTCCTATTTTCACTGTAAAACTAGAACTTTGGGTATGCTCTACCTCGACAGTGAAAATACTATTTTGCTGGCTTTTGCCCAGGTTGTTCTACAGTTGTCGTCGTTTGTTTTTGTCAGCAAATATTGAATCTGCCTCCACCTCTCTGTTGCCCAATCAAAGCACTCTCGCAAAATCTCACGTGGTTTACTGAATAACAAGGCAAAGGCTGTAGGTTCGCGGTACTTCTTAACTTACGATTAATATTCGTTATTTCAAGCTCGTAGATTATACTCATCTATTTAAACATACCGGTAATATTTCTAAGCCAATCTCCATTCGTTGCATTTGCCGAAGAAAATGAAAGGTACAGAATTTATCCTTTATTCTTTCATTAGTGTTCCTCGAGTTTTGTCTTCCCTCAGTCTTCATTGTGGTTCTTATTGTGATTGTAATGTTTCTGTAACAGCGCAGTATTATTTGTAATAAGATTAAAGAACCTAAACCATATTTGTTTTGATGGAATGTTTCTGTTGTTGTTATTTCACGTGAAGTGTTAAAAGGAGGGTTTTCACCTTTCTTCATCTAATAAATAAAACGAACCATTTTATTTGTATCCCTATTTTTAGAAGCAGCTTTAGTTTAAAACTCAAATAGAACAATCAACAGATCACTATCAAGATTATGTGTGCACCATTTTTGAATTTTTTTGTTTTTAATTTTGTGTTCTTCAGTGCTTTCTTGTGGATAATAATATGACCAGCGAGGAAGGAGAAGTTTGGTGCATCACAGCAAGTGATGATGATGAAAACTATGGACCAGTAAAAGGGGTGTGGGAGCCTACTATTGAGGATATAGTAACATTGTATGAAAGGCTCGTGAAAGATGAAGTTTTAGAACTTGAGTGGATCTCACCTGGAAGGAGACCACCAGAAAAAGAAAAGGAAGCAGTTGATGATGTTTCACAGGAGCCTGATACACCACAAGAAACGCCTACGAAAGAGGAGTAAGTGATTTCAGCATATTTTCATCTATTTATCCACCATTGTTAGTAAAATTAGTTTAAACATTATCTTTGTTTATGATTTTCTGCTCGTGTAAACTCTGGATTAAAGATGATAATGATTGCTAAACAGTTGAAGGTGTTTATTGATAAATATTTTAGTATATTTATTAAAAAACTGAATTAAGTTAATGTTTACTTATATAAAGAGCTTCAAAACACAAATTTACCCCAGTATTTAAGTAACATTTCTTTCTTTTTTTTTAATTTCCAGACCTGTGGCTCCCACAGAGTTTGATTTTGATGACACACAAACAGAGGCTGCAAAAGTTACACCAAAATGGACTCCAGGTTAGTATGATATAGACTATCATATAGTCATAGATACAGGAGGATGCATATTATCGAAGTCTTAACAGCAGTTTTCTACAACAGCCTGTAGTACTCAAACAATAAGTAAGACTTAACAGGCTTTATTTTTTTTTCTTTATTAACATACATTGTGAGGAATGTTGATCAGATGTTTACTATAGTAACATATTTATCTCTTTTTAATATCCAGGAAGTGGAAAGACTCCAAGGCCTCAAAAGAGGGTAGCCTCTTTGGATAAAATTCTCAGTGACATTCGTCAAGAGAAAAAGAAAGAGACTGGTTTAAGGAGGAGTCCATCATCTACTCCTCAAAGACCTGGACCAAAACTAACTCCTAAAAAAGACCCATTTGCTTTTTAACACAGAGGAACTAAAACCAGACTGATGTTATTCTCTTTAGGGTTGTTCATTTTGTTTCAAAATGTCAGAGAATAAGACTAAAACAGATAATTATCAGCATAAATTTTATAAATTGGTTTGTAGTCTATTTTCTCTGACATATGTGCCTTTTTTGGTTATCTGAAGAAAGTGACAAGAACTTAGGAAAAGATTCATTTATGAAACTCTTTTGTTTTATTATAATAATTTGTTGTTTTAAAGGTAAATGACTGAAGACATTTAACATGTTTTAAAGACGAATCACAAACATGCATACTTAAACATAAATCTTCATTTTATTAATTTTAGAAGAAAAATTTATGTTTTACTTTTTATATTATTTTTCTGTATGATATGCACTGTTCATGGATGATGTACATAAATTCAGTTATTTTTTGTCTGAAGCAAATGCTCTGTTGTTTAAAACTGCGCAGAATGATGGGGGGAGGGGTGTACTTAGCACGACAAATACAAAACAAACGTAAGCGGGTCACGTTCTCCACCAATTTCACTGTCTGTGATTTGGACCATCTTCATGAAGGCAAGGTTAAGTTAAAGTGCATGTCAATGTTGCAGCCTCACTAGTTCAAAAATTCTTTATGATACAAAGCAAAATACATGATTTTATCCGTCCCTTATTTTGTCATTTTTTTCACAAGCAAATTGAACCTCAGTAATGCCAGCAAAAATGGCAATACACTTTCATTCGATACTATTCATCTAACACTCTTCATGACAGTCCACATTCTAATTCTTTGGCGTACAAAGTATTTTTACAAAGCCCAGAATTCACTTGTATACATGTATACAATTATAACAGGTGCTGTCAAGTGAAGCAGGAGTTGGTTATATAATAGTGGCGGGTTGCGCAATCACTGACCAATAAGCTTGGACTCTGCTTAAGCTTGTACTGTTTGTTCTATTTATTAGGCTGTTTGTGTATTGAAGGGAGCATTGGTCTGACTAGTGATGAAGCTGTACACCTGTCCGACCAGCCCTTATTTCTCACTGACCAAGGTCGGACTTGGAGCACGGTATGTACAGTGTGTACACGTGTATGTACATGTAACTGTAACTTTATTAGTTTAACGGTATATAATGAGTAATATTTCCATTTTAATCGGATAAAGAATGAAAATTTTAGTCTAGTTGAAACACATATGTAAGTTGGAAGAAGTGTTACTTTTGCAGTATCCCCCGTCCTTGCCGCAGTTTTCGACCTTACATGCTAACAGCACCTTACCACAGATAAGGCTGAAAACTGAGGCAACTCTTTTTAATGCTAATAAAAATTAAATTATTTGGTGACTTACCATGTCTCTGCTATTCATATAAATTAGTTTGGAAATTTACTTTTTTTTTTAGTTTTTTTAACAAACCGTCAAGTTGTTTGACCAAATGCAATGAGATTATAGTGAATTTCTCCCCAGCAATAACCTTGGCTCTCATAATTTGTGGAAGGCATAAAGTTTCATGTAAAAAACATTTTAAGATTAGTAAATGAATTGCCAAACTAATTTATTTCAGACGAGAGACATTGGTCAAAGTCACCACATAAATAAAAGACATTGAATCTCACAGTTATTTGGTGGGGGAATACTGCAGAAATGCCAGAAAAGTACCTGCTATATAATTGTGCCTGAGTCATGTACATTTCAGCACAAGTTTCGTGCTAACTTCATATTAATGTAACATTGAACACTTATTTTGTAATAGGTGTACATGACCTGGCACAAGCACCTGCACCCTATATACTCTCTAATAGTAAATTTATACATAAGACGGCCATTTCAGAATTAACTTAAATTAAAGGCAGAAGTGCTATTCTTAATTGTCTCTCCCTTGATCAGAGTCCAGTGTCTCCATTGTATTGGACCCGAGTAAATGCCATAATATTGGTACAGCCATAACATATCAGAAACTGTAAATAGGAGTGCTACGCATGAATTTAATGCTACTGGGGAATATGTACATGTACTAGTACATGCATGTGCATACATGTAGAAAAGGCATGGGCGTAACTAGGCATACGCATGGATGCACTGTGCGTACAATTTTTTTGGCCAACCATGATATTATTGTACCACCAGCGTTAGCGCTGGCGGTACACATGGTTTCGGTCTCGTCCGGATCGTTCCGCCGGCTCTGCCGGCTCCGCCGGCTCCGCCGGCTCCGCCCGGACGGCTACCGTTACC